TTTGCAATGCAGATTTTGCCCCCCACTCGTAGCCACCCACAGAGTGACCAATAAGTTTTCTGTTTCAGCCAGCTTTTCCTGGTAGCTTTCCATTGTTATAGCCGACTAACTCACTTTTCAAGAGCTGGAAAACTTCACACATAATCAGTGGCAGGTGCAGTGACTGCCCCGCTCAGCCTGTCTCTTGAGAATTTTACAATGGAACAAACGAGAATGACTTCAAGGCTTCCACTCATAGGTGGAGGAAAGTGCTGCAGTCTGGAGCTGGAGCTGGGGCAGGGCAGAAACAGAAACAGAAACACTCTTAGGGCGTGTTGTGCACACAACATAATTCAATGCAAGCCGGGCAACATTCGAAGAAAAAATTCACTCGAAAGCAAAGGGCCAAAAGGATATGGATATGGCTATTCCCAGAGCCATTTCGTATCCATGCATGAGCTGCCTCTATGGAAGCCCAGGAGCAGCTGATGGGCGGAAGTAGCTGCCTCTATATCTCTCCATCTGTCTATCTTTCAGGACTGCTGGACTGATGGAGGAGTCTTGGTCGAGTGGGACATTCGTCGAATGGCAAGAACACTTTGTCAAAAAAGTGCAGAGCGCATAAATCAAACAGCAGGTCACTGTATTGTTGCCCCTCTGGCCTTCGGCTGGCAGTTGATTTGAATTGCAGAACAGTCGGCATCGCCTTCAAATAGAATTCCAGTGGCTAACCCATTAAGATGCATGAATCGAAGGAATCCATTGGGGGATTAAAGTGTTAGAGTAGTGCTGTGTGGCCAGGGGGGAAAAACTGCAGGGGGGAATGGTTTTTCTCCTCCTAGCCACATCCGAGTTAGCCCTTCCAGCTTTTCCTCCCCAAAGGTTCGTTTCGACCCCCAAAATGTTTGCAAAATTACTCGTTTTACCTTGCTGCTGCGAGTGTCGTAACTTTTTCGATTTCATAAATCTGTGCGGGCCGAGGGTACAAAGGGAATGTGGAATGAAATGGAAGTTTCCCAACTGGCAATGAGTTTGCACTTTTTGACAATGAGGCGCCGCACAACTTTTTTTGGGGGAACACATCAGTTGCACAAAAACAAACGGGCATGCAACGATGACTGGATTCATTCTACTCGGAGCTGGCGCTGCACATATGTATGCCCCATGCCACACGCATTTCGATGGAGGGAATCGCACATTTTCCAATGGAGTGAATGCCACAGGCGAAATTTTGCTGCAGTACAAGGGGTGAGCGCCAAAGACTGTAAGCTGATTTCCATCAGCTAAGTACGACATTATCACCTGCCAACTCAAATTCTCAGAATTCAAATTCAAGCACGGCTGATTAGCTTTATTATGCAGCATTATTTTCCGGCAAATCCACTTTAAGCTGCACGCTGTTAAAGGACTTCGACTGCCTCCTAATTAGCATTCATGTCACAGCCCCGTGGAGAGACTCTCGACAGTTGGGAAGGGACGGGATATTCAATATTTGTGCACGGGGCTACGAGGTAAGTCAAAAAGGTGTACACTGTACAGGATACGCGCTCCTGGGGCAATGCATTGAATGTTGAGAATGTAAATCCCACATGGAAGTCAATAGATAAATTCTATATCATCCACTGGGATGATATATCCCATATCTGCCGTGTGTCGTGTGCCTTTGTCCCTTTTCTTGGCTTCAAAGTCAACTAATTTAACGTTAACATTGTCACGTTTGTTCAAGCAAATCGAACGCTTAAGACACACGACAGAGAGGCACAACAATGACGCGGCGCACGCGGCGTATGTGTAATGTGTGAAAAATGAGAGCAGTCTGCCGCCAGGCATTATTGGGGAAGTGACTGGAAGGATGTGATGGCGCGACCTTGAAACTAGAGACCAAATACGAAGCCGAAGCCGAACCCGTACACGAACTCGAACCCGAAATAGAAACAGTTTTTTGGGGGGCATACAAGCGTAGAGGAGCAATCTTACTTAACACAAAATATATTGTGACAGATCCAGTTTCAATGGCTGTTCGAGGGCTGTTCGTGTAGTTCGCTGCACACTCAAGGACACCCAAGTGCACGAACTGATTGTTGAACCCACTCGGGCGGCTACTTACATGCCGCTTAGATTAATGTTTCGCCCTGGCAGACACAAAAGGATATTTGATAAATGATCCCTGACATGATGTGCCGCCCAACACCCATCCGATGCTCAATATGTGTAAGTACATTTATGGTTCTACCATAGAGCAGATCCCTCTCTTTAAAGGACACATATTGTGTGTGTTTATGTGTGTGTGGAGGAACACTCAAAATTAATTGGCAAGCTAATTGACATTTTAAATGCAATCAGCTGCATGGACCATGCACATGGTCCGGCTCAATCCCTTGGCCACTGTCAAACTGTCCCTTCCATGCCCAAAAAAGCAACAGGCCCGAACACATTTACTCTCGCCGGCCTCAACAATCCCCTGACATAACAAACCACACACACAAAATGTCATATTAAAGTAATTAAGTGGCATAACAACTTTTAGGCAGCGTCCACACCCCACCCTACATCCTCTACACACCACCCGTATCCCGTATCTCATGGCTTTCATGGGGAAATTGGCTTATTGACTCATTAGCCCAGTTTTGAGGGTCATTAGCTAGGGCCTGAGGAATTTAATATAAACAGCAGACCCCCCACAAAGTATGTACATATATAAATTTGCATAGAAATGTCAGGGGACATGGACATAGACATGGCCGTTGGCACGAGATTGTGTGCATAATCTTATCAAATGATTTAGTTCTGCTGCTGCTGCTGCTGGCAGGCGGTTGTTCCTTTGTGATTGTCTATCCCCCGGTTATCTGCCAGCACTTGGACAAATGAGCAGCCTGGACAGTAAACTAGCCCCCGAGTAACATCCGCTTAATGCTGGGAGAGGGATGTTGCCAATTACCTTCTTTTTGTCATGGAAATATCTGAAAGCCTGACAAACATCGAGGGAATATGCCTGGTTATTCTGTTCGCATTTACTTTTTACGCATGAAATGACGTCAAACGCTGCTCAAAAGATATTCTGCTTGGTTTTTTCTGTGAACAATTATTGACATATTCGAACATGTGCAAATATTTTATTCATTACTTTGACGGACATCAGAATTTCTCGTTAAATTCAATCAACATGCACCTTCCAGCATCGAATGCAACGCAGCTTTGAGCGAACACTTTCAAAAGGATATAAGCAGAGCAGGAAGTGGGCGTGGGCGTGGGCGTGGACATGGACATGGACGTGACTTTTATAGCCCTCATTCGGCATTCGACATCCCACACAGTTGATTGCGCAAAGGCCACCGGCAAAATGCTGCAATCTCTCCCATCGATGTTCCAGTAGAGGATTGCACAATCCACAGGCAGTATTGTGGGTGTTGCACAAGGCCAGAAGTACGACGAGTATCAGGCTTGTCAGCCAACGGCTTAGCATTTAAATGGCAAGCCAACGCCTGGCACTGTCGTTAAGAGTCTTTTCAATGGAAAACATTTACCCCTTCTACAAGTAGATGGAATTTACCCTTTATAAATGAAGGGTAGGGAAAGTGGCGGCACTGTGCAGAGGGAAAAACCCAGAGTAGGGCTGTTCGATTTGGGGGCAAAACTGTTTTGGCTAATGGCAATTTATTATCGAATATTTGCGCAACTAATGCCGACCAGGAGCAGGAATCTGGAATCTGCTCAGCAGAGCGAGCACCAACAGCAATGAAGGTTCGAATTCGGATTAGTCAAAGATAATGCAAAGATTCCGACTAGAGAATACCCTGTGGCGGGGCCAAACTACACAGAGTCTGCAGGTACGGAAGGTACCTCCAAGCACAACTACCCACAAAAAGCTCACCCGCAGGGTGTGTATCCAAAAGGTTTCTCTGCCCCCACAAGCAACACGCAGAAATATTCCAAAGACCCTCAAAGTCAACAGTTTTTGAAACCGCAAATAAACGGGGGGTGAAACTGAGAAATGTGGAACGAGATCTGCAGAATGAATGAAACTGAATGAAAGCCATAAAAAGGCCAAACGAAGTGGCCCGGCGAGCGTGTAAGCCGCCAAACCCAGACCCGACGTAGGGGAAAGGTCAATGCGAGAAGCGTTGGCAAAAAAAAAATCAAATAAATGAAAAAGAAAAGAAAACGTCGCTGGAGTCACCAAAACAGGGGATAGTACAGAAACAGAGACATAAACAGAAGAGAAAAGCATCGAAGAAAAGGAAACGCCAGCGATGCGTGCACATAAAAAGGCAATGGCAATGCGTACATATACATACACACATATGTATGTACACACATATACATTGTACATAGAATGTTTTACTATATACTTGACTGGCAGTTGAACGCTGGCTGAAAGAGTAGATACCCTCTAGCAACAAACTGCGGGAAGAACACTCAAAATTTACGCAAAGAAAACCCCCCTTCCCTTGGCGAAAACTCTTCTCCCTTGCTTACTTTTCCAGGGTATTCTCAGTTTTTTTGCATCGTAAAATCCGCCAGAAACCACTGATATAAAGCGGATACCGCGATACAGCAGCAGGGGACTGGGACAATGAGGCTCCAAAATACAAAACCAAACGCTGCGCGTCAGTCGTAAAACATAAAGTTATTTATTTGAATCTGTTAAAGCCCACAATTTGCATTCCGGCAGCAGGGCGAAGAAGCCAACAGCAGACAAAAGAGACATTGTTTTTCCAGGGAATCAATTACATTCCCAGTTTTGGCCCCAAGGGTAAGAGGCTCCCTCCCGTCTCTCTCCCACTCTCTATCTTCTGGCCGAAAGCGATTTTTGATTAACTTCCGCCCACCACGAAGGACAGTGGAATGTGGTGGCAGGAAAAGTACAACGCTTATAATGCATGTGGCAGGAGGAGCGAGCAGGTAATAAAATAATAAAATTCCGTTTTGATTTTGGGCCTGAAATCATGACAAACACGTGCCCAAATATAGCAACAGCTTGCTGAAAGAATTTCCTTCCACCCGATTCGAACAGCAGTTGGAAAATATAGAAATATATTAACGAAACAAAGGAGAAGCAACAGAGGGTATCCCATTCCGCATCAAAGAGCAAAGAGCACAACAAGTAGTTGAGTCAGCTCCTGGCATCGGCAAAACCTATGCGATGGTTGCCCATATCAAATTCCGTGTAATATTTTCCCAGAAAAACGTCCCCGAGTATCCACAGGGGGCCGCTGGGCGAGGGCAGATCCACGCCGATGAGCGCCGAGAAGCAGATCTCGCGATCCTGGTAGATGTCGCGGAAAATGTAGTCCCGCCCGTCCAGGGAGAACTGGCGACTGCCGATGCGTAGGGTTAGGCGTGGCAGCTGCGGCACCTTGTCGCAGGGCACACTGTACTGGCCGTAGTCGGAGGGCGTGCCGCCTATCGACTCGTTGATGAGAATCGCCTGCTCGTAGGGCAGGGCCAGGAAGGAGGTGCCCGTGTCGATGATGACCTCGCAGCCATGCTGGCACAGCTGCAGATCCTTCATGTTGGCCGCCTCCATTCTCACCTGCCAGTAGGCGCGATGGCTCACCGGCACGTAGGTGAAGTTGCCCCGATAGTACCTCGGATTGGATCCCCCGAAGAACAGGGCTCCGCCCTCTCTGTCCTCCTGCCGCCTGTTGAGGTACACACTGAACACGGGGCTGCTGAGGAGCTTCTGCTCCATGATCGCGTAGAACGGCGGCTGCACGCCCTGCATGGAGATGCTGCGATAGGCCAGCCCGAAAATGCCATCGAATTTGGCTGCCAGGAAGATGGGCCCCGGCATTATGGTGGCCTCTGCGAATGTCTGATTGCGGATCTCCAGGCCAGCCACTCGCACCGTGTCGCTGGAGAGGTACCCAGCCAGGCTCCCGCTGCCGTAGTGGATGGCGAAGTGTACTCCGTTCCGGCGATGGCTGCTCGACTCGCGCGCGTTGTAGCGACTGTGCACCATGCAGGCCACCATGGTGGGGGCGCAGCTGGTGGAGGGCACCCACAGGTTCGAGGATCCCGTGTCGAAGATCACCTTAAAGGTCTGCGGCGGGCTGCCGATGCTAATGGGCCCAAAGTACTGGGCATCCAGATAGTTGCTCAGCGGCTCGCTCCTCACCTCCCAGCGACCCCACGACCGACCTCTCTCGCCCACGCCGCTGTACTTGAGCCGCAATCGATCCATCCGTATGCCAAACTGCACGAAGCGATTCCGTGCCGTGGGAAACCGATGCAGGGGGACACGGTACAGCGCCGTTCGGGGACTGGCTCTGGCTGCCACAAGGGGCAGCAGCACGAGGGCCAAAAGTATCAGCCACATAATCGAATCAATAACCTTTGGCATCAAATTTCTATCGTTCCTGACTTGTTGATGTGAAGTCAGGGGCAAAGGGAAAGCAAAATGCAAAGAATTCTGATAGCTCTGTAATAAAGTGAGTTTAAATATTTCCTACGCGTTGCGCGGATTCCAATTACAACCAACGAATACTCTAGAAAACAGAGTCACATCTATGTATAGCCAAAGCCCAACCAAAGGGCATTAAACAGCACGAAAATTCCCGTGTAATTGTAATGGGAAATGTGAAACGTTTCGGCGTGGGGATTTTTCAATTGAACTCCCTTCCCTCGTGTACTGCAATATGAAAGCTGTCCAGGTATCGGATTGCCAGTGAGTGAATATGTGAATACGCGCTCGCGTACTCACACATAGACTCATAGTTGCAGTTGCTGCTTTTGATGTGCTCCGCTCGATTGCACACAGATTTCCACATCCATTCACGAATTGAATCGCTGGGCTACGAATTTGAATGTGTATCCTGCTGTATCCCTTGCTGCGGTTGCTGCTGTTGCTGCTGCAGTGTTTTAAGTGCTTTTTTATGGGTTTGGTTTGCCCGTAAAAATTCAAGGGCAGACATACCGCAAATACATACATACCAACCATAGCCACAGTTTTCATACGCCCCGTTGTCTGGCCAAAAATGTCCTCCAATTAAAACGTCGACTTTCGGGCTAATGCGACAATAACAGCTCTGACACTTAAGGCCTCACATAAAAGCGGAGAAGCGAAACGAAAAGACCGAACGGATTCGCAGATCCCAAAACCATTTCACCGAGTCCTTTCTGTCACCTTCAGGGCCCTGTCTGCCAGTGACAGGCCACACCTGCGCTAATGGGCGCCCTGTGGGCGGCTATATCGGTGCTCCTTTGCATTATTCTTATCTCCAATCAGCAGCGAGGCAAGGCAGGCTGGTCAACTCAATTAATTACCTCCGTATGCTGTGCTGTTCTGTGCTGTGCTGTGCCGTGCCGTGTCAGGCGTAAAAAGGATTGTCCAAGCAGCTTTGATGTTGGCCAAGTTAATTGAAAGCGAAAATTGTGCAAATAACATTATCGCAGAAATTCAAAATGGCATTTGACTGACTCTGAAGGGGAGCCAGGAGAGCCTCCTGAAGTGGCATTCAGTTAAGCAGGCAGGCGCCTCTCATTGAATTTGCCAAACACAATTAGAGGCAGATGGGGAAAACTTTTGGCAGGGTCAAAAGTCATGTCACCAAAGGAATATCTGCAGTCGGTTTGGGGGGCGGGGGGAGCGTCTGTGGCAACACTTGTTGATTTTTCCAGTCAAAGTAAAAGTTTTAGTGCCCACCACAAGGTGTGCCCAAAAAAGGCAAAAGGTAAGCGGAAATTGCAAACAGCAGCAGGCAGTCAGGCTGCCAGCAGGCAGCACATTTTGTATTACTTGATGCTTATAAATTGGGTTTTGGTAGCTCTCTCTCGCTCTCTCTCTCTCTCTGAAAAGGGACTTGACAGCTGCTAATACGAATGAGATGAGACAAGAGACTGACAAGTAACGAAGCAGAGGGAGAGGGAGAGCGAGAGCGAGAAGGAAGTGTGCAGAGACCGCAGCAGCTGTTCAAAAGTTTTTGGCAAGAACTGCAGGTCCAAGTCCCTGACTCTCGTTTATACCATTCTCTAGCTGTATGTATTATCTGACAAAATATTCCCCCACAGGTCCAAGTCCCTGACTCTCGTTTATACCGTTCTCTAGCTGTATGTATTATCTGACAAAATATTCCCCCACACAGAAAAACAGCAGGAAAAGGGTAACGTTTGCGGTTAGCTCTTTAAATGGATTCCATTAAAGTATATTTCGACACACGCTCTGTTATCTGTGCTCGAGACTGTGACTTGTTGCCTTGCTGTATTATTTATGAGCCAATTAGAGGGCACCACGAAACAAAACATAAACCAAACAACTCCGCACAGAGTTCTGTGTGCTGTTTATCGATTTACTCCAGCGGAGAAACCGCCAGGGAAAACTCCAGCAACGACCCGTAAAAGTGCGCCACAGAATTGTTAACCCAGAAACATGATGAATGTATGCTGTGGCATGCATTACCTGCTGCCACTGCCACTGTGTTGAAAATGTCAATGCTGCAGCTGAAAACATGGAAATAAATTGCCAATGCCACGAGATGCACAGCATAGAGAGGGAAATGGAAGGTTTTACATTTCAGAGGATTACTAAGTACGATAACTCATGAATGGTTCACGCAATGAATAAAGCTGAAACGATTGAAATGGATAATAATTTCAGGGGAATCCCCTGGCAGGGCAAAAGTTTAATCGAATCAATCAACACTTTCGGGCACAATTTGATGCACTTTGATACTTTTAAACACTCTCCGTAAACTTCTCTACACAATTAAGAAGTTTTAAAGCGTTTAAAATGGCACTGATGGATATCCAGAGTTCCGGCTGCTGCTTGCTGCTGCTGCTGCTGTTTCTGCTGCTGATGGGGCAATCAATTAAGCTAACGGGCATGTCAAACACTTTGCCCCTCAAATTTGATTGATTTTCTGCGGCAAAAAGCAGAAACAACTCCTATTTTAAGCGACTCATTTGCCCACGAAAGAGAACGATATAAAGCCAATATATATAGAGAATGTATAGCCACGATAAGCAGACGAATACGTGATTTCTCCATGGCTGCATTAACTGGAAGCCCGCCTGAGCTCGATTTGCATAGAGAAAATTGCCGTGTCAGTGGCCGTGGCAGACCCGCTGCTTTCTGTGACAGCTTTAAGTTCCATTCCCCCGCCCTACAGAGCATGTGCAAAGTTTCCTTCAACAATTACACACAGTGCTGTGCAGGCCTGGCGGAACAAATATTTAATTAGTCCTCGCCCTCGGAAAGCAGGCGATGAGACTGTGGCGAAGCCCAGCTAAGCAGATCGAGTGGCAGGACAAACCGACACAACATACACACACATCCTACGGCCAAATTCTGTTTGCCACTTGCAGCCAGTCGAGCGTGAGGCACGTCAAATGGAATTCATTTACTAGGCAGAAGATTAAAGCAGAATTCCAGCCGCCAACTAGGCGCAAACTTTGCCTCTATTCATAATATATTTACACATAATTAAGGGAGATTCGCTGAAAGGCGGCTCCATAAATCACAGTGCGTGTTCCCGCCATGAACTGCAGCCACAAAGCCCACAGAGAGACACACCATCGGGGGGGAGGTATACTCGCATAGAGGACGCAATTTTAGTTAAAGTTCAACTTTACTTTTGCTGCTCTTCCATTAAAATGTGTCATAAATTCCACAAATAAAACCCCAATTTTGCTGTGCATAACGGAATTCGAGCAGAATTTTTACTGGTTGTGGCGTATCTGGGTGCCATCATTCATTTATGTATATTTATTCCATAGGCTTTGTCTGACCTTTGGCCTGTTAATGTGGCCTTAAGTGGCTTGCTACTTGAGGCAGGCGGCGGGTAATTAAAGCAGTCAGGAACCCCTTTGCAGCAGATTTCCCATTGAGGCCAAAGAGCGTTTTAATTGAGTTCCGTTTTGTACTGTTTTCAGTTTTCCAGCTGCTGAAGTTGCCATTTTACATTTAACGGGAACAATTTGGTTAATTAAAATGTTACAATTGCGTTGGCTGGCACTTTTGTGGCGCCTCCTACACCTGCCTCACTCAGGCTTACGTATAGCTACTTCAGACAGGTGGCAAGTGTCCTTGTCCTTGTCGTTTGTCCGTGTCGCCTTCGTGGAGTTGAGAGGCATTTCATGGCGGCGACTGCACACATCGCATATGCTGATGGAAACTGGAAAAGTGCTCAATAATCAAAAGGGCTGGAAAAAGGTGGCAGGTGGTTGGAGGGAGAGGGAGCGACACATGAGACCAGTATGCCACACATGGTTGGGATAATGTTAGTGCCTTTGCCGTACAACTCTTTTGCTTCACGTTGGGTGGGTTTCCTTTTGCTTCATTTTTCATGGAATTACAATTAAGAAAAATTCCCACTTCCGTTTCACATTTCACTGCCAGAAGCCACACAGAAAAAAGAGAAAATAATACGATAATACGAAGAAAGAAATCTCTGCATATCAAATGAACACAACAACCAACATGCTCTGCATTATTCGTGCACATTAAATATTTATTTCTATTTCTATTTATATTTTATTTTTATCTTTTTTCCCCCGCTCTTCCTTTTGGCATGCAGCAGCACGACAACGTGGAGGAGTGTTCGCATTTGGAGTGGAACACGAATATTCGCATTCTCTTTTCATGGTTGGCGTCGGTCCTTCGTGCTCTGCAGTTGCCTTTATGGCTTTCTTTCGTACCTGGTAATCTTCTACAGCCAGGGTGTACTTATATTTGCTTAGTTGTGGGAAGAGTAATTTACATGTATCCACAAACCAAATATTTACTCATATCCGAGCTCACATTTTCACAGATATCCGGCACTCTTTCAACATATGTAAATGTATGTGGGAGCTTTAGTTATTAAAACATTTTAAATTACAAAAAAAAAATGCTACAATAAATCAAATTTAAATTCAAATTTTACTTGGAAGGCTGGATTGAAACTCTATCTCGCCGATGTGCTCTGCGCTCCCTCGCTCTCGTCATTGCAATTCGCATTCGAAATCGTTTTTGCTGTGCCTAGAGATCGCCGTTGGCACTCTTCTTACCTCTTATCCCTACACACTTTTAGTGGGCATCAAAAAGTCGAGCATAGATGCCAAGAACAAAGCTCTGTCAGTTCTGTGTATCTGCACTTGCCCAGAGCACCAGCTCATGCAACATTCATAAGCAACAGACCGCCCCCACCACTGCCACTACATTTTAATATGCAACAAAATATATTTGGCTAAATTTTGTCCGGGGAATGAAGCACTAAGTGGGATGCAAAACTTTCTTGACGGAGACGGAGAGCTTAACCTTTTTGCACAGCCTGCTCAGCTCACTTAACCCATTACAGCCACTCGGTCTATACCGCAGCCGCCTTCCCCCACCCCCCCGGCTCAGGTTGGGTCTCATTAGCGAACAATTAGCCAAAGCCATGGGCAGATTTCCAATTAGGATACCAAATTACTATTAATTATGGATATAATTGGCTGAGATCTTGCGCTGTTGGTTGAGTGGCGGCTGGGATTCGATTGGGTGATAGAAAATTGTGTAAAATCCAGCAGATAATCACTAGAATTTTCATCCATTCGAACTCAGCTGCTGCGTTACGTGGGTTCTTTGCTTACCAGCTACCAGCTACCAGGTTCAGTTTCAGTAGTTGCTGACAAACTTTTGCTTTGTTCCGCCTGTTCGTTTCAGCCCAGAACTCAGTTCTATAGTTACGCGGAAACTCTCTCCACAAACTTAAACTTGCTCAACTTTCATGCCATGCCACAGCAGATGTTGCACGGGGGACATGCAAAGTTTTAGCTCATCTTTGATGTTGGCAATATTCTTTGAAAAATAATTGTATGACAGCAGCAACATCAAAAGAACATCAATATCTCTGAGCTTCAATGGAAACCATTGTCATGTGTACACTCACAAGTAAATAGACCATTTATTCAGATGCTCGATTATGCTACAGTTTATATATAAGTATTTGTACACACAAACAGACACACAATGTATTGGCTAATATTGGAGTACGTGGAGTATTGTGTATGGATTGGGTTCAGGGGTAGCCGTGGGTTGCAAGTTGGGCTTGTGGCTCACATAGACACGACAACGACATTTGACTCGACATTTTGCTGCTCTGCTGTGGCTCTGACTTGGAGGCTGTGCCTGTGCCTGTGTCTGGTACGTGGTCTGGTCCTTCCATCATTGATATTCTCGCTAATATCTAAGTACTACCTCATCGCACTCACAGATCTCCGTTCGGAAATGGAATTCAATGAAAGTTCAGTCTCTTAAGATTCATCTGTGGGCCATCCCCTAAACGGAGTTCTCCTCGAGTCCTTGCTGCAACTTGGAAACGATTAGAATTATTGGAGGGACAGCACGATGTTTGGTTTGCTTTGCCCTGTGTGTTACCTTACCTTCATCATGGGACTGATTGCCCGGGGCATGACACTGAGAGTGCTGCCGGTGCCCAGGCCCATGCCCGTTGTGCTGGCGCCTCCAGTGTGCAGGGCATTGGTGGAGCCACGGTGCAGGGCGTTGCAGGGCGGATGCTGCCCCACCAGTGTCGTGGTGGTGGCCGAGCTGACGCAGGACTCCCGCTTGCCGCGTCCATAGTAGCTGGTCAGAGGCCTGTAATGGATATCAGCCTCTACACATTACATGCCATCCACTCCCGCCACTTACCGCATGCTCTCAGCCCGCGGCGAGCTGCCGCCCTTGGAGAAACTTTTCGCGGTGTACCTGTCGACGGGGAGGGTGCAAGAGAGAGGCAAGGATTGAGGGTGGTGAAGCTCCAGCTTTGTTGGACGCTATACCCACCGTCGGCTCTGACTCTGCTGGATGTCACGCGTGTCCCGCCATGTGGAGATGTGATGTCGCAGCGCATTGCGCACCTCCGAGTTGAGGAAACAGTAGAACAGCGATACGGAGAAGCCCTGCCAGGTGCAGCAATAATTGCAAACAATCAGCGAACAATCAGCGAACAATCAGCGAACAATCGGAACGGGAAACGACAAGGGGGAACCCACCTGTGTACTCAGCAGAGCAGCGCGCAGAACGGCGAACATGTGACCCATAAGACCGACCTCGGACGGGCCGGCCAGCACCACCAGGTAGGTGATGCCGAAGAGGGGAATGAGCACCAGCAGTGCCTTGGCCGCCTTCCTATACTGACGCGTCTCCACGGTATTGGCCGAGCGCAGTTTGGTGATGAGCACCTGGCAACAGAGAGCAAGAGAGATGAATGGCTGCTGCTCTGAGGCTGCTGTGAGGCGCTGCTGCTGCTTTCGGATGCACTCACCCACATGATGCGCAGCAGGAAGGTTAAATTGATGAGCAGCACCGCACAGACGGGTCCCTGGAATATCCAATCCACATTCGTCTCCTCCATCCAGGGGCAATTGATGTCATACTAGAAGACACGGAGCAGGTTCAAAGGCGCAACTAGGGCAGCCGGAGCGCCAGAGACGAGACTTACCTTTTCGGTGCTGTTGTAGGTGACAGTCAGACTCTTGGCCACCAGCCAGGTAACGACAAACAGGGCCGGACCACCTGGCCAGCAGAGAAACAACAGGGACCTTTAATTGGCTGCGCAACCCTGCCACCACCCAGCTACTCACCCCATCCGATGGAGGCGTAAATGTTGAAGCGTATATTGTCGCCGGAGAAGGTGTTCACCACCAGCATGTACAGATAGAGGCCCTCCACCAGCATCCAGAAGAAGTTTGTCAGCGTAAAGAAGTGGAAGAGCGTGACCAGAGCAATGCAGCTGGCCTGTCCGCTCCGGATGGAGATCTAACGAGGCGAGCGAGGGATTACAGGAAGGCTGGGGACAACAGGTAACACAACACCGCACTCCGCTCACCTGAACCGATAGCAACAGTATCCAGAACAAAGCCGACATAATGTACGTGAAGAACAAATTGGCGTGAATGGTGTTACGCAGGCAACGCAGCTCCCTGGGGGGAGGCATAGAGAAATGTGAGATGGCAGCAGATGGAGGCGCTGTGGCGCTCCACTTACTTAAAGTACGCAAAGACAATCAAAGCGAGGCTGAGGGAGACCAGGCTGAGGGCGTAACCGATGTAGTAAATGATGGTTGGCAGCTCCACGATGACCTCGAACTCCGTCACCGAGTGGGAGGCTGGCAGATGGGCGCAGGCATCGTAGTTGGTGTACTTCTCCCACGTTCCATTCGCATGGCAGAAGCGGGTGGCATTCTCTGCGGAGGGCACAAAGGTTCAAAGACTCCCCAATCAATCTGACATCACAACTCACTGCTGCTGTCGTAGTGTATGCCCTGCAGCTCGTCCATGCACTGCAGCACGGCCAGGGTGCCGTGCGCCGTTCGCGGCCAGCAGAGGATCGAGTCGAACTGTGTGAGACAGTGGTCGCTGGCATTGCCGTAGGTCGTTGAATCCAAGTGCTCCTGCACCAGGCACTGCAGCTCCACACTCTCCCCGATTCCGTCCAGATTGGACAGCATTAGCAGCGGATCGATACCGCTGCCATTGGCACCGCCCGCCGCCTCCATGTGACTGCTGTGGTCACTCATTGTGTGGACACCACCACCATTCTGCGGCTCCACCTGCGGGGGCGACACCAGATGTGTATCAGAATAACATTCTCCCCCCGCACTCAATCGGGAAGTTTAATTCTTGCTATTGTCTAGGGTACTGCCCGCTGGGCTGTGGGAGGACAAAGTTCAATTGGCAGCTTCTCCCCTTTCGACCAGAACGTGTGGCCTTTTCCCAGAGTGTCCGTTAATTGCATTGACACTGCCACGCTGCCACAGAGGGCTGTGGCCAGACAGGACCTTTGGTTTTTCCTGAAATCCATTCAGAAGCGAACTTAAAGGCAGGCCGAGTGCCATAAAAATTCATTAGTTCGTCCATCAGAAGGCAGACAGAAGCGTCAGCAGATTGGTGGGAAAAGACTCTCCGCTCAGGCACAGCAGACATGTGGCCATAAAAAGAACACACACCCACAAGTCAAAGGGCTCAGTCAGACCAGACCAGACCAGACCAGACGGAGACCAGTCCCCTGGCTCATGGTTATGCATCGAAATTAGAAACGCTAACTTCCTGCCAGCGGGTGTGTGTGGTGGCTTTGGGTGGCATCAGCATCAGCAAGCGGAAATCTCGCATTTTAGCCCTGATAATAAATGATGCATCGTTACATTAATGTGGGGCATAAAACAGGGCGGGAACCGGCGGGCCCACAAATATTTATGGGATGCTCTACAGTGAGTGTCGAAAGCCAGCGGAAGTGCCAATAGAATTAGGCAAACACTAAGCAGCGCAAGAGAAGTTTACTCCCAAAAGAATTCCCTCCTCTGCATTTGGACGAACTTCCAGCGAAATGAAAAGTTTGCCGCGTGGCCAACAGGGCGTATGAATAATTTAAACGCACAATTAATCGAGTTTCCAGAGAACTACAAATTGTTTTACCAAAAATTTATTTCGAAACAGTAACTTTCTACGTAATTTTAATTTGCAGAAATTTTCCAAAAAGCAATTTTCCAATTGAAACAACAACAACAACAGCGAATCCCCGGCAACCCACACAGCCACAATCCATGAAATATTAAGTCAGCAGGCGAACTCCACTCAAATTACAGCCAGAGGAGTGTCTGTGGGTGCTCTACTTCTGGCACAAACTGTGTGGGGTGTTCGCGTTGTTTAAGGGACACTGCTCGTAAATTGGAGCACTGCATGTACATAAAACAAAGCAAAAGTTGATTATTACAACCCCACAGCGCTGCGCACGGACTCTGCCACCAAGTTCTCTCCACGCGCATTCATTAGCTTCTCGCTAAGTTATAACACATACGCCGTGTTGGCTTTTAAGACACGCTACTCCTTACGCTCCAACAGACACCCACCAGAACAGACCAGCAGACATGAGAAATGAGTTGGGGCCACCCAGTACATAAGCCGCAGAGAACAACTCAATTTAAAGTTGAACATTTTGCACATTCCCTGGAGAGGAAGCGAGAAAGCAAAGGGCCTCTAATTACCTCATAAATAATGCCGCTGCTAAAATGGCCAAGTCAGTGGGAAGGCCTAAGTTATGGCCAGAACTGCTAATTGCGTATTTGATTTCAATTAAAAGCGACAGACAGCAACAACAAAAAAAGAATCGCAAAAATCGACATAAGGCAGCAGGAGGCAAATTTCATTTGCAAATGTAAATGCAAATTTATTCTGACATCTCGCATGGACAAATCTCATTTATGGGCAGTCAGCGTTGATGAATGTCCAATCCATCGAACAGAAACAGAAACAACCCATCGGAGAGCAGGACATTTGGCAGCAAACAAAAATGGCATTACCAGGACATAAACGCAAGCAAACCAGCAAAACCCGCATCTGATGTAGATGAAGAGGGACAAATCAAATGCACAGACTGCCCAGAGATCACAGAAGGAATGTGGGCTGTGGTTTGTGGTCTCCCGCCCCCCTCCTGCCACATTCCCACTGCTTCCGCTGTACATGGCTATTACAGAAGATTGTATCTAATCTCGTACGATTGCACACAATGGATTTGCCCAGGGCGACACAAATGCGCAAACGGGAAAGGCACAAGGCATGCCTTGTGGTTTGGGTTCTTGGGGCACTTTTTTTTCTCTCGCTCATGTGAGAATTTCTGCAATTTCCGGCTGCTGCTTTAAGGCTTATAAATGTTTGCATTTAGGGGGGATTTTTGTTAAGCGAATTGAAAATATAATAGTCATACGAGTGTGGTCCGACCGTTTGGCATTCCCCCCACTCGATAAAAATAAAAATAACAAAAACCAAAACCTACATTGAGTTTGAGACTTTGCGGTCCATTGAGGGATCTTTGCGGCTCGTTTTTCGTAATTGGTGGAATATGTTTCATTCTCGCCCGGGACAACGACGGCAACTGCTACTTTCAGTGCTCGTTAATGTTGCTCATTAAATTTTATATGCATAAACAGAAACCAGACAGCAGACAGCAGACAGAAGCAGCAACAAAGAACATGTTAAATTCATAAGCCACGCCGTGTGAGAGGTGGTGTGTGGGGGGGAGGCGACAGGGAAACCTTGAATGGCTGCCCCCAACGAGAGAAAGTTTTTTAATGAAATTGCTCATTTAAGCGAGAAAGCATTGTTTCATATCGGAAAGTTATCGCACACTTTGAAGTCGGAAAAAGTCGGAAAAGTCGGGCAACAATTTTTGCATTTCCCTCACTTTTATTTAGCCTGCGGGGCCAATCAAATTTGATGGTCGACCACTTGACCCGAAGGTGGTAAGTGGTAGAAGCTGGTCGAGAGCCAAGACCATCGAGCATCATAATTTGCAGGCACGCACGCAAGTCCTTTGCCCGTTTCCATTTCCGTTTCCGCTCGGACCAACCATTCGCTGCTGAAGTCAGCACTACCTGGCAGCGGAGGAGGAGGAGCAGCAGCAGCAGCAGCGGTAGGGGCAGGGGCAGACACTCAAACGATTGCCAACAAGTGTGGCATTTTATTGTCTGGCCTTTAATGGCTTTCCGCTCATTGTGTGGCACGTGCAGGTCTGTAGGTCGCTGCAACACACCAGTTACGTGAGGGATTTCAGCTTCTCGAGATAAATCCATAAATATCGGACACAAAAGGCAAACAAGCAGCCGAGTGGCAACAGAATCTGCTCTGACTAAATCTGTTATTTATTGGCTCAATAAAAATTTGGTTTAATGCATTACAAGTGTGTCGAAATATTTGTGAGAGATTTTCACGAGATTTACGGCACGCACCGCACCAAGTGCGGAAGTACATAAAGCAAAAGGGGCAACAAGTTCTGCCTGGTTATCAGAGAATGAATGGGGGGGGGGGATCACCTCCTGGCGGTGGATTTGCCCAATCGATTCTGCAAACACACCCTACAAATGGCCCCCCAATTGGAACTCTTCCCGCAGAAACCGCAGCGTTGCCCACTGCATTGTTCCCTCATCCATGCGCCCGTGTGAGTGTAGCTGCGTGTGTGGGTGTGCGTATCCTTTAGCCATTTTAATTAACCGCAAATTGTTTGCCATTCTTTCTGCACACCCAACATCAGCCTACTGCCATGCACATGCCTGCGGGGCACAGGAAACCCGCTTACATTGTTGGCACCTACTGCTCCGAACCGGGGGCCTGGGTTCCTTTGTGTCCTTTGGGATTTCGTTATTTTTTTCTTACATTTAACACTTGCAGATTGCCGAGCTTAACGGGATTCTTCCACTGACCACAGAGTGAGAGTGAGAACGGGGTGTGGTATGTCCTTTGTCCCTTGGGCCAGGACAGTCACTTACTTGACCCGGCTTAAATGTGTTTAACGCCTTCTCAGCTGCCAAATGATGATGTTTGAGCTGCTTTCTTATACGCGACTATGTGGGTGGGTTTCCGTTTACACCAGTCTGTGTCTCCCTTGCGCTGTCTCTGTGTGTGTGTGTGTGTGTGTGTGTGTGTGTCTATCTGTGTGTTTGTCTAGTTGCCTTGGTTATGGATGGACACACCACCCACCCACAAACACAGAGCAGAAACTTTATGGTTTTGGTTTTGGTTTTTATCCAGAATTATTTGTTATAGTTACACTCGAACTTGCACAATAACTGTGTGCCCTTTGGGCGCCACTGACTTTATGTCGTTGCTATTTTTTCGGAGGAAATTCTTTTTTTTATATATGCGAAATATATGAATTTTTTTTGTTTTGTTTCTTTTTTTCGAATATTTTTCAAACAATATGTCAATTTTTGTTAATATTTTAGTTATTCTTTCCGCGCTGGCATCTGTCCCAGAGCCCAGAATAACCAAGAACCGCACTCGCTCACATCCCGCTGATAACTGAAGCGTTGCCCGCAGGAACCATCTTAACATTCTGGACGTCGTTCTTACCAAAAGGCGCGAAACGCATTTGCGGTCCACACTGCAAAAGCTACCCCAAAAAGCTGCGTTCCACAGGAGCTTTTTGGCGGCAGGCAACGGCAACAGGTGGATTCCATTGGACCCGTAGGACTTGCAGTTTTCTAATGCCTGAAAATCTGCCTATTTGATTTATGCAAATATTTGCCGGAGTCCGATATTTGCTGAGCATTTCCCTGGCTGAGGCCCTTTCAGTCTGTTTGCTTAGGTCGCCAACGGTATGGATCCTGGATGTATCGGAATTGCTATCAGGGATACGCGACCCTTTGAAGTCCCCCACGTTGATTTAATTGTCAGTGTTCCAATGTTCCCCAACCCAGGTATGGAGCCGCATGTGCGGCTAATCAAATTAAACTCGAGTAGAGAGCAGCCGCTCTGGCTGAAAGTTATTGAAATATCAGTATATGGGGTTCGCATGGGGATGCTTCGGGCTAAAATTGGTTGCCGGAAATGCGCTGAAATTAAATTGTAGAGAAAACAAAGGACTTTTTTTGTATATACATGTATATATTTACAGAAGCTTTTCATTCCACTCGTGAATGTGATATTACAATGATAAACATTTAGATGGCGGCTGCTGCGGGCTCTGGTATGTGTAGGACACACACACTCACAGGATGGGCATGGATGTGTGGAAGGGGCTGTGAAGTGCGCGCTGGCAACATCCTTATCCAAAGTGTTTGATTTTCAAACAAATGCTAATGTCAACTGCCACTCAAAAGCATTTAAATTCCAATTTTAAAAATGCTTTTTGTCTCTTTATTTTTATTCGCCCCATGCCAAGAGCAAGCGAATGTGTTCTCTGTCTCTGTAGGTATTTCCCATTCTCTGTGTCTCTTTGTGTCTCTCTGCATCCTCTGTTAGCATTAAAGCGTTTATCCTGTCGCATGCAAATTTAATGTCACACGCATTTCCAGTGGTTCTTTTTTATTCCATTTAAATGTTCGGCAAACCTTTTTCCATCGATGAGTGCCCGTTTTCCTTGAGTTCTTTTGGGAAATACGTCAAAGTTTTTCCATTTACTTTACAGCAGGTAACTTTCAGCCAGAGTGGAGCAAGCTTTCGCTGCAGTTAGCAAAGAGATTTTTCAATTAAAGTCTTTTGGGAAATGGAAAAACTAGTATGCATCAATCAAGGTGCTCTCCGCTGTGCTAAGTCGGTCTTGAGAACTTGAGCAGCGTCGTGGCCACGGCGCGTGGCATGGAAACATTGAAGCGATTGCTTGGTGCCGCCCAAAGCCATCAGCTTAGTGGCTAAAGGCATACGGTGAAAATCAGTGAGCAGAAGACACAATAAGAGCAGGGCGACGACAGACAGGCGAAAATGGAAGAGCTCACACGAGCAGGAGTGTGGGTGGGTGGGTGGCACTTGTGCTGTGGCGGTATATGAGCACTCAACAATTACTTAGCAGCCGTTTCATGGGGCTCGTCTCTCAACAAGCTCATTAATTGCACGACGCACTAATTGGCAGAGCTAAAGGATTTATTCTACCTCTGACTTCTTCCGACTGGCTGACTCATCCCCATCGCTCTGTAAATGATATTCGAGATTATTCTTCTGGTATTTCCCCAGTTGTGGTCACGCCCGAGCTGCTGCACTCGCAATCGGAACCGGAATCCGGCTGCCGTCAACCTCTTTTTTTCGTGCTGTTTTGTTGTGTTTGTTTACAGCCTTCAACAGACGCATTGAACCAACAAACAATGACAAACGACCCGTTTTCATTACAGACTCATTAGCTCTTCAATTTGGCCAGATTATTTGGCTATATAAGCGTCAGTCGGGTGGGTTAACGAATTTCATTATTTTGCCGGCACCCAACCCCAGTGGAGGTGAGGTGAAAGTTCGTCCAGATGCCCGAGCTGATGATTTATTTGTGCTCTTTGATCTTTGCGCTGTGCCAGGCCCACGCCCACGCACAGACCGCCTACAATTGCTCAGCACCGCCGAATTTTAATAATTTTGTAAGTAGAAACAAACCACAAAATGGATTAATACTAATGATTGAGCCAAACCCTTGCAGGACATTAACTCTTGCTGTCGCACCCCGGAACTGGATATGGGCGATGTGCCGCAAAAGTGTCAGAAGTACGTGGGCCAACTGAAGTCTGCCAACGCGAATTATCCCAGCTATGCCCATTTGGTAAGTCTGCAACGGGAGGGAGAGGGAGTTTCCTGCATTAATCGTTGCTCTCTCTTTTTGCCTTCAAAGTGCTATCCCGATTGCATTTACCGCGAGACGGGTGCCCTGCTCAATGGTAAAATCCGAATGGACAGAGTTAAGCAGTATCTGGAGCAGCATGTCCATCAGCGGGATCAGGATATGGTGGCCTACATCGTGCGCTCCTTTGACTCCTGCCTGGGCAACAGTGCGTATGCGTGTGCTCCTCGCAATAGCTAACCATTAATCCAATTTGCTATCCCGTAGTAAAGAGCCACATGAAATCAGCCAGCATTGCGGCATACAAGGTGCTGCCCCATGGCTGTTCGCCCTTTGCCGGCATGCTCTACAGCTGCGTGAATGCCGAGACCTTCCTCAACTGCCCCGCCAGAATGTGGAAGAACGAGCGACCGTGCAACCAGGCCAAAGAATTTGCCGCCCAGTGCAATCCCCTGCCGCACGTTCCGCTGCCCAGTAGCTAAGAATTGCACCCCCCATTTATGCAGCCTCAACAAATATTTGTAGTAAAATGCTTCGTATTAAGTTTAATCTGTGATCGGGTTTTTTTCGGGTTTGATTACATAATTCATCCATTGATCATTAGCCAGCAAATTGACCGTGCCAAATGGTTTGCCCTTTGGCTGCTCCAATTTGGTTGTACGATCAGTCAAAGTTCGATGTTCCACGGAGCAACACACAATGAATCCGCCGCTAACACTCGTATTTGGCCTGCTCCTGTGGATGGCAGGAGTGGATGGTGCCTTCAGGGACTTTGTTGTGGGACCAGAGGTGACTAGCCCGAAGCTTACCCACAACCCCAAGCAAGTAATTCTCCCCCCTTAGGACGATTTAGAAGACAACGCACTGCAGACTGATGGACTGCAGCAGGACCCAGAGGACTATCATGATGAGGATGTGCTCGTCTCGTTTCAGAGCGTAGAGCACGATGGCCTTGTCGATACTGAACTGCTGCTGAAGGCTCTCATGCAGCACGCCCAACGGCTCGGCCTCAGCTTGGATGAGTTGGGTGAGCGCCTCATTAGGCAAGCTTCAAAGGTGATTTCTGAACCCAAAACAAACCACAATTTGTACAGCAAACATGAGGTATGCGGTCGAGGAGGACAACGAAGATAACCAGCTGGATCAGGATATGCTGGGCTGCAATGCCAGGGATCAGGAATATGCCCAGCGGCCCACCTGGCGGGATGTGCTCTTCAATTGATCCTCACGAATAAATCAATCAATATTGTGTGTACAATGATCAAAGCAGCTGCAAGTGTGCATTTATTCGGGGGTAGGACTCATTCGCAGTGAGCACTGTACGCCCTGGCCTCGGTGCACATGGTGCTTTTGCTCGCCGCACGCTCCGGACAGTTTCTGTACACATACCGATGGGCGCACAGGCCGTACATGACCGACATGGAGGAGCACTTGCCTGTGATGGGCATACGGCGACGCTTCAAGCTCTTGATCATGCCCTGCTCCTCGCCTGCACACTGGCCAAAGCCCTCCGTATAGATGTCCACAAACTCCTGATGCCCCTGCAGCAGGGCTTCCATCATTTTGCGTATATTGTCCATCACCAGACGCGTGCCATTCAAGGCTTTTGCTGCCTCGAAAAGGCACTCGAAGCTGCACTGTAAATGCAGCAGCGGCCCATTAAAGGATTCCCTCCGAGTCAATAAGGATCATACTTACGGGGGTTATGTGTGCCCCATTGACCAGATACTGGCCGCACTGCGAGTTGTATTTGGACAGCTCCAGCAATGGCATTTTGCAACAGTTTTTCAATGCCTATTTCAGGGAGGATGTGAAACCCAAAAAGAATCTCTTGGCGGCTGATAATACTCACATTCAAGTCGGGACGCTGGGCGCAATCCGGCTCGCTGGCCAATCCTGGACTGGCCAGGAACGAGAGGAGTATCAAAGCCAGCTGGTGTAGCATTTCAGGCAACTTCTGGTCAGTGGACAGCACCAGATATGCCATTTATACCCCCAAAACCAACCGGATGGGCGAATGGCATTCGACTTGGGCCATTTGCTGCTGAATGCTGCTGAATGCTGCTGAATGGGTTGCTCGTTTGGGATAAGATAGGTATTTTATTTTCAAATGGGTCTGGCACCACGCGATGCACGCATGGTTGGGCAATTGAGATCCTGCAGGCGAGCCGTCTCGCACAGCTCCGTGTACGACCAGCTGGACGAAGGACAATAGTTGAACACATATCTGGTGGTGCAGATGCCATAGTAGAGGGGCACCGGGGAGCACTGCTCCACACCGGCCACCGGACGCGGCCTTCTGGCACGCATCATTGCCTCCACGGCACCAGGACACTGCAGCATGCCATCCAAGTAGACGTCCAGAAAGTCCTGATTGTTGCCCAGCAGCCGCTGCAGCATGCTGCGTGCATTTGCCACATCCAACTCCGATCCGTTCAGAATTTTGGTTGCATTGAAGATGCAGTCGTAGAGGCACTGCCGCACACAGAGAGTATTAGCGGAGGAAGGGCTGTGGGGGCAGCTTCAACTTACGGGCGACACGCGGGGTCCACCGTCGGGCATGTATCTGCCGCACTGCTTGCCAAAGGCCTCAAAGTGGAAGGTGGGAATGCTGCAGCAGCCCCTGACAGCCTGTGGGGGGATTAACACACAAATTCAAGCCCTGCCTTGCCTTGCCTTGCCTTGGTTCAGCCGAGCTGAACACTTACACTCACATTGAAGTCCTGCCGCCTCGTGCAGTTCACGTCCGCTGGCGCAGAGGCCACCAGGCTGGAGCACAGGAAGGCGCTCAGCGAGCAGCAGATCATCAGAGCTCTGTGGCTAGCCATTATTTGTGTCAGTCTGAGCTGCGCCTGAGCATAACCGCTTAATTTATAACGCCATTGCGACTCCGGCGACTGCTGCCGGCGACCAATTAATGGAGCAAATCGCCATTTGTGGCTTGTGACGGACGTTTAATTGAAGGTCTCGTGACCCAGCGGCTGCAGCACGTGTGCCCCAACTCTTAACTGACTCCACATGATGAGCATTCGCTTCAAAATGCTGCTGTTCAAAGTCTACGTACCTATCTATCTACCGACACTCAATCACATGCAATTATAGTGTCTGGACCCAAACCGATTCCCCGCATTAAACGCATTCGAGTTTCATGGCTCGCAGTCACACAAACGACTCGGAACATATATTTGTGCTAGATCTGCTGATACAGGTGACACTAGCTACAAATGAAAACAGAAAAAGGATAGCTGCCCCTGGGCAGAGCCGACTGCTCGCACTCCTTGTCTGCGGCTCGCTCTTCGAGACACTGCCATCGTCGAAAATCCTCACGCACGAGCGGATTGTCTCCTTTAGGATGCTGCACTGCTCATCCTGCTGCCAGTATTTTTGTGGACACTCGAGGGTCAGATATATCGCCGCACACTGCGCGTGGTACATGGAAAAGGGCGAGCAGTTGTTGGCCGTGTTGGCAGTGAAGTTGCCCAGGCCCAGTGTCTGCTGCAAATGTGCAGAGTAGAGCATTATGAAGTCGGCGTATTTGGTGCCCAAACTGTCACACGTCTCGTACGCCTTCTTCAGGGCCACTCCATAGCTTTCGTATCCATTGAGGGGACTGTACAGCCGGGTGATCATCATGAAGAGCTCGGGCATTTTGAGTTTGAACTGCGTTTCGTCGCGTATCCCCCAGTGATTGAAGATGCAATCGTAGCGGCACTGTAAAAGGCATCCTTTATTATCACAAAAGCATCGTTTGGGGGCGGTACTAACGGGTCCATAGTCGCTCAAGAAGGAGGTACAGTTGCTGCCCACAAAGACGAACATGCTGAGGATGTTCCTACCGCAGCACCAGTCCAGGGCCTTGGTGTTCATCAGCTTCGTGCAGTTTGCCATATCCAGAACCTCGCCGCGTGCCACGCCCACCAGCAGCAGTGGCATGCAGCACCACAGCCAAAGAGCATTTGGGGACATTTTCTTCAATTGGGGCTAATGAATTTAGAAAGGGTATCAAATACTGATTTTCTTTTGTTTTTTCCAAATGAAATAATAGGCACAGACATCTGTTTAGGGTTAAAGCCACACCAACGGCCATCTCCATGTCATCTCTCTGCCTGCCACACGCAACGCTGTGGCGAATGTTCCCACTCGATTTGGTTCATTCGTTAAGCGAAGCTGCAGCCATGTGGAGTGGTTGGATTGCCATTCTGCTCTCAACGCTCTCCTGGACACTTCCTGCACTCGAGGCAGCCAAGTGCAAGGCAGCCCCCAAGTCTGTACAGGTGAGTATCCATCCACACCCCACCCCCACAGTAGCCAGCAATTAAACAGGTGCAACAACCCACCGCAGAATGTACAGATATGCTGTCCCGCTCCCATGCCCAATTGGGGCGTCTACAACGTCGAGTGCCGCGACTCCGGACAGCAGCCAAGCGTGAGTATCCCCGTTAGTGATCTCTTATTGCTCATCCGCCCCTCCTTCCATACCCATTCCCCACAGTGCCGTCTGGCCTGCATATTCAATGCCAGCACGGCCCTGCAAGGCCCTCGCTTGCGGCTCGACCGAGTGCGACCCATGCTGCAGCGCGCCTTTGGCCACCAGTCCACCATCGACGCGTACGCCTCGAACTTTGGCAACTGCTCCGCCCTGGTGTACAGCAAGTACCAGGAGCTGGCCGGAGTGAGTCGCCAGAGCGACGCCTGCGACAGGCACGCCCTCTTCTACAGTCTGTGCGCCTACTTTCGGCTGATGCAGCACTGCCCCACGGCGTTCTGGCAGCGCAACAATAAGATGTGCCAGGAGGCGCGCTCCTACACGAGCAACTGCTTCTGGCCTGGCTTCAAACGATTCATGAACAGCACCTGAATAAACTCGGTGGACAGAACCAGAACTCAGCTTTTATTGCGGCGTATGGGTTGCGTGATCAGGTCGAGAATGCTCTGCTTGCACCCGCTCCGGTAGCCCTTGCAGCTGCCCCTCTGGCCAGCCAGCTCGGCGATGTAGTAGCGCTTCGGCAGCGACTCGTAGCGAGAGCTGGTGGGACTGAACATGACGTGAACCAGGCTGCCCAGCACTCCATTGAGATTGCCCAGCTGGTAGCAGTTCGCCTCGCAGATCAGCCGCAGCAGGCACTGATCACCGGAGCCGAAGCCGTGCCTGGAAATTTATTTCGGTCTCAGTCTGGGATCATTCGGGGGGCAGAGATTACTTACTGCTCAAAGCGGCGACTCAATATCTCGTAGAACTTTGAGCGGGAGAACAGGGATCTCTCGTGGCGATGCCTGGGCACTGGATCGCCATCGCCATCTAGCGGAAATCCCTCAAAGAAGTCCTTGTAGTCTCCATCGTCCTCGTCGTTTGGTGGCGGTGGCGTCGGCTGCTTCTTGTGCTTGTGCTTACGTTTGTGTTTATGCTTTGGTGGCTTCAGGGCAGCTCCTCCTGCTCCTCCACCTGGGGGCTTTTTCTTCTTCTTCTTCTTATGGTGCGACGGCTTGTGCTTGTGCCCTCCAGAATGATGATCATTGCTGTAATCCTCATAGTAGTCAGGCCCGTAGTGTCCAGGATGCCCACTGTACTCACTCAGAGCATAGTCCCCATTGGTGCCATTGCCATGTCGCTAACGGGGGAGGCGGAAAGGAGGAGTATTGGTAGCCATATGACAAGCCAATGGAAACTTACCAGAACGACCGGCTTGTCTGTCCAAGATTTGGGCAGTCGGTAGGTAACCTCAAAGTTGTAGGACAGAAAAACTTCGGCCTTCAACTCCAGGGGTATAGCAATGGCCACAAAGATCTGCCAAGTCGAAGGGAATTGGGGAATTGGGTAAACCTTGACAGCGCAGTTTCAGGCACAACTCACCGAAGACCCACCCCCCGTATTCCAAACAAAGTGGGACTGTATCCCATGCAGCGAGCACACAGCCAAAAGGAGCAGATGAATCCACGGCCAGCCCATTTCTACCTCTGGACAGCAACAGTTGCCCCATCGAACTGAGCCGCAAAGACCACAAAGACTGCGGAGTAAACCTTTCTCTGTGCGAAAAATGATAATCCAATTATGAGCTGGCAAAGAACCTGGCTGGGAACTTTGGATGGGATCTTTGTTTCTGGCAGCGAAAGTTGCTAATTGAAAAGCGAGAAATGCGAATCAGGTCAAACGGTTGGCATCTTTCTGCCTTCTGCACTGTACGCGTATATTTCTTGTATCATTCTACATGTGATGCTGTCGCTTCAGCAGCTCCTCAAATGGCTCCGAGATCAGTTCCAGAACACTCTCCCCGCAGTCCGAATGGTAGTAGTGGCAGCTGTCATGCCAGCCATCGTGCTCCGCCTGGTAGTAGCGCAGCGGCAGCTGCTCCGACTCCGAAGTGCTGGGACTGCAATATTTGGAGAGTCAGTCAAATATATTCACCGAATAGAGAGTTCCTCCTACCTGAAGAGCACATGCATTAGGCTGCCCAAAACGCCATTCAGCTCGTTCAGCTCCCCAGCACTCGTCTCACAGATCAGGCGCAGCAGACAGGCCTCGCCCTGGAAGCCGCTTCTAAAAGTGCAACTTGGCTCAGGCCGGACTGAAAACCCCCTCGAAGCTCTCACTTACCTCTGCAATTTGTCTATGAATATGCGATAAATGTTCGAACGTGTGATCAGAGCGCGACTTGTACGCTGATGGATGGGAGCCTCAGTGGTCTCCTCCTCCTCCTCTTCCACCTGTTCCGCATTGGTGCAGTTCTGGCAGTCACCTTTTATCTTACGGCTCGACTCCCCCTCCGTCTCCTCGCCTTCCTGCACCTCTACCTCTTGCTCCTCCGACTCAATGGGTCCGTTTTGCTACAAAAGAACCAAATTCCATTATCATCGTCATTCTATTTGTCTGTTTCGGGCTGTTTGCTTTGCCCTAAAGCCAAGCCAAGAAGCTGTTAATTGGGGCACAAAAGGTGTGCTAATGTCTCAGCAAATGCGGCATTTTATAGCCTCAAACAAACACAACACAACAGCCACAATAATTGCACTCACAAATAGCGTAAATTTGCCCCAGTTAGCGGGTAAATTGTAGTTGGCCTCAAAGTTGTAGGACACAAAAACGTTGCGATGCGGCAGCTCCAGGGGCACTGCCAGGGCCGCAAAGATCTGCAGGAAAAAGAACATCCAATTGAGGCCAGACCAATCGATACCATCCATTCGTGGATGCACTCACACCGTGGGTGCTGGCCGTTGTGAAGGCCACATGGGCGTCGGCTAGATCCAAGACACAAGTCACAAACAGGGCAACCATACCCGGAAGGGGCCGAGCTCCAATTGAAAGCATTTTCATTTATGGGGAAACGCACGACAGACCTCCACGCAGTTCAGTCAGCAACTGAACCGACAATGGCCGCTGGGTACTCCACAGCAAGTGCGTGGTACTGCGGTGAGAGTGTCCGCTAATTGGATAAGCAAGCCAGCACCCCACCCACAGAAAGAAGAGAGAGAGAGAGTCGTGGTACACTATTTTATTTTGTTCTACGCCCACTTACAATGTCGCTCAGAGCCTGCTCCACGGGCACTGAGATCAGATCCAAGATATTCGCCTCACAATTGGCGATGTAGCCGCTGCATTCCCGATGATGGCGACCATCCCACTCGGCTTGGTAGAACTCATCGGGAAGATGCTCATCCTTGGAGCTGCTGGGACTGCAACGAGGGATCATTGAGTGTCGTTGAAAGATTCGATTTGCGGTTTTAGCTTACGTGAATATAATGTGGATGAGGCTGCCCAAGAAGCCATTGACTTCGCCCAACTGCGAGGCATTCGTCTCGCATATCAAACGCAGCAGACAGGCCTCGGCAGGGTAACCAGATCTGGGCAGGGATAGGCATAGCGATCACAAATAAGTATTATAAATATTACAAGAAGCTGCGGTACGCACCTTTTTAGTTTGTCACTGAGCATTGAGTAGAATATGGAGCGATTCATCAACGACAGGGAACGTTTTCCGCGCGACTTTGATTGCGATTCCGTTGTTGAGTTGCTGCTGCTGTTCCTGTTGGTGTCGCCCTTCTGATCCCTCTCCCGTTCAGTGCAGTTCTGGCAATGCCTGCCGCTGTCCCCACGTCCCGAGGTGGGATATGTCAGATACGAGTCTTCATAGTCGCCCATCTAATGATGGAGTTGGTACAACTTACACAAAAGACTCACGACACAAGCCACACAGCAAAGACTCACCAGAATGGGCGGATACTTGTAGACATGCTCTGGCTGATAGTAATTGAACTCGTAATTGTACGACAGAAAGACATTCCGATGCGGCAGGCCTATGGGCACCGATATAGCCATAAATATCTGCGAAACGGAAATCCGATTTAAATATCGACCTGGAATAACCACAACTTGAGGCTAGATTACCCCATACTCAGAGTTTGTGGTGAATAATAGAGCAGAGTTCACTGAATTCCAGTTCATCATGCACCACGCCAGGCACAGCCATTGCGAAGGGTATCTGTTGTTCATAGCATCCAACAACTGGTCCAAATCGTATCTAATGATCCGATGCTCGATTGATCGATGCTTGTCTCTTCAACTTTGAAATTCGACTGGCTGGCCGCCCTGGCCAGCAGCGGCCAAAAAGGTGCGTGGCCAAGAAGCTGTTAATTAAAATCCCGAATAGACATGCAGAGCCGGCAATTTGGGTCGCCCCGAATTGGTTTAATGCAGTTCAAACTGTAACCAAACAACGGTCTTCCAGTTTACGGTCTTTCATTTCGTAGTGTTACAAAATCACGTACGATATTCCCCAATGGCGTCCCCCTACGGACTATATTTACATCAGAATCGTTATCGTCTAACGTAGGCTTTAAGTTCTCCAACAGGGAGAACACCCGCGGAGCGCGATTCTAAAAATATCTATTTCGCATCGATTGGTTAGCATTCAAATATTTTAGCTGCTAATAACTGCCGTCTTGTTCACGTGTATGCGATATGCACTACGATGCCCAAGAGTCCATTGAATTGGTCAGTGATTTGGGCATTAGTCTGCAGTAATCTGCCTAAAAAAATTTTAAAATATTCAAATATTCACCCAACATAAAGAAAATAGCAAGGGACAGGCACAGAAACCGAACAAAATGAAGACTTGGATTGGTTTGCCAATTGAACAGAGCAAGAAACACTTAAGAGTCCCTTATATAGTTTCAAATTATGATTTATTCTGCTCACTTATGGCTATGCTCCTATTCTATAATAATGGTTTGTGAGGTGAGTGGCAGAAGCTCGAGTTCACCCACGGCGGGTTCCTGCTATCTGTTGTTGCGCAGCTTGCGCTCCTTCCAGGTGACAAACTTGGAGTTGGCAGTGCCCAGCAGCTGGTTCATGTGCTGAGTGAGTGAGGAACGCAGCGGCGACAGCTCGTGCATGGCACGATTCTGTAGAAAGAGCAAGGGAGAATGAATAACTGCTTACAGATGCTTCGTTTGGTGGAGGGCCAATGAAAAGCCTACCTCAAATGGAACCAGCTTGGCCATTTTGAAACGTTGTAGGGTGTCGTGCATGCGCTGGAGCTTTGCCTCCAGCTCTTCGGTGGTGGGTGGAAAACAGTTCCAGAAATGTTTCAGCAGCTCCGACAGTGAAAGATACAAATGGCGCAATTCGCGCTGAAAGTCGCTAGGAACCAGCTCTGTTCAAAAGAAAACAAAACAAAACATAATCTACAAGAAGAAAATTAAAGAAAATGCAGTGCAACTTACGTCCTGCCGACTGCTCTTGGAAGCCACGCATCAAGGTACCGCCCGGACTTAGCTCTCCGAGAGCATTCACCGCAGCCTTGGGGCAGATGACACCGCGCTGTACACTGCGATTCAGCCAGGACTCCGAGTTGCGCACCAGTTTGTACTGCACTTCCTCCAGGCTAAACTTTTCGCTGTGATTTTCGTACATGCCGTGCTGAACGGGTCCGTTGAGGTAGCGCTCTACCTTGGAGAGCTCAAACTGCTTGGCCTGGCCCGCGTCACCGTTGGATGAGTCGTCGTTGACTTCCATTAGAGGATCGCCCAGATCATCGTAGTGAATCTTTTCCATCAATCGCTGTTTCTTCGTATTCGGCTCATCGATGTCCGGTGTATCGGCGGGTTGGGACTTTGCGGATGTCGCAGTAGCCGTGGCCTTTCCATTGAGGCCGTTTGTGTAGGCAGATTGCGATACTGGTCCGGTGGCCTTGTTGGTGCCGTTGGTCATGGAGGAGGGTGCAAAGTTGACATTGGCACAAGTCTTGAGTACCATAATGGAATGCTGGTTGAATCTCTTGATCATGTTCTGGTGCACAATGTTGCCGCTGTTGACGACATTGCGATCGCCGGCCACGCTGCCAAAGCCCTCCTCCAGCGGTACATCTTCGAACTTCTTCAGATCCAGAAAGGGATCCCCAGCTCCCTTCTGCACCGCCGCCTTGAGTGCCTGATCATCGATCTTGCCGCATTCGGTGAATATGTCCTTTGTGCCAGCGGTGAGGCGATCGCGATGAAAGTAATGAGATTGAAAGAACTTTGTCCAGAACTCCGACTCGGGCATCTTGTTGGGCACGTTCTCCATGTGCTTGCGCTTGACGGCGGGATATGTCTTAAATATGCAGTGTATAACATCGGAGGTGAGGTTGTACTTCAGGCCATTGCATCCATCCGTTTGGGGCTTGATGTCAGCCAGAAATGCGCCAGATACACCTACAGAAGAAACCCAAAAAAAAAATCATAAGCAATGACAAATATTTGAGGATAAGGGCCTGCCTGATCACTAACCGATTTCCTGGGACTTGCCCATCTTTTTGAGCGCATGGTCTTTGGCATGCGTGGACCAGAACTCATCGCTGGTAAGGACTTTTGTAATGACCAAATCTTTGTACAGCTGAAGCAAGTTGGGATTCTCCATAAGGACGCGGTTCTTGTCCTCTAGGTCTTTGTCTACCTTGCGCTTGAAGTTGGGCAGCAGTTGCTGGAGCAGCTCCTTGACCTTATCGCGATCGGCCAGCATTGCCGGCATGCCCTGGCGATTGACAAAGTGAAAAGTAGAGGTGTTGCCATCGTGGAGCACCACCTGTAGCTGCACCTTTGGCTTGCCTTCGGGCGAAATTTTCTGTGCTGCACGGGTGAGAGGGAGAACGGCAGAGTTTAGTTTCTCTGGCATCAAACGCGATCTGGTCGAGCATACTTTTGATATCAGCATAGCGGTGAGACACTGTCACCGTGTCTCGGTGCTCGGCCATCCACGCCAGACGCTCGTTCATCACGTACAGGGTCCCATCACCCTTCTTATACCGCACCTCGCCCATCTGCAGCAACACATCCTCGCTGCTCGTGGTCATTATGTCTGCTCAGTGCGCAGCGATTTCACATCAGAAAATTCTGAAGCAGACGCCAGGACTCGACCGCAATCTGAAATTGCAGGGAATGCGTATTTTATCATCATTCAATATCATTTTCACAGATGCCCCAGCCGCGGATCTTCTCCAAGCGGCAATTTTCCCCTCTGGGCTACCGCAAAAACGCAAAAATACTTTGCAATTCACGCACCTCAGAAAAAATGTGAATTAGTGATGATAAATATATGACATATCAATATATCGATATATATTTTTGCTGATATATTTGTAGGTGATAGTGAAGGAAATTATTTGAAGTGAAGATATAATATATCATCGGTAGTACATGTCCGAATTCAGAACAAATCAACATTACTTTTCTGCTGTTTCACGCCTTTAGATCAGATTTACCGACTTTTGGTTCTTCCTATTCTCCATAGTAATAGTTTCTTTAAAAATATCGATATTTTTGTGCGATAGGCGGAACTAATCGGCGTTGTATTTTGAAAATAACAATATCATCTGTCCTGATGCGCCTTTCCAAAGCGATGCAGCTGGAGAAGATGTGCCCCAATAAATCGAATGAACAAACATTAATGCTTTTTAACTTATTATCTTATTTCAGTTTTACTATTTACAACTATCTACAGCCTTCTTCAGTGTCTGGTACGCTCCACTGTACGTCCCCGGTCCAACAAATCTCGAAAACTCTTAATTTCATGCCTTGGAATACTCTCCCTGTACTTGGGCTGCATCAAGCCGTAGATAAAGTCCAGCTCTGTTTCCTCGTCGTGCCGGCCGTCTGGTAGCTTGGCCAAAAGCGCGCGCTGCTTGCAAATAAACGAATCGATGACTTCACCTCCGCTCTGCTTCGTCTCGAAGATCTCCATGTAGATTTGATAGGAGGGCTTGGTGGGCGAGAAGTGGTCCCGCAGAAGCTGCAGGGCATCCGGCCATGTTTTTGCATCACGACGCACTCCCTTCCACCACACAACGGCGATGTTGTTGAACAGCAACGGCAGCCCCTTCAGAGCGTCCCGATCGCTGATCCCCTCCACCTCCTTGTACGTCTCCACCGCCGTTATAAATTCATCCACGGCATCGTGATCACGCTGCCCACTGAAGCGGACGGGGCAGTTGCTGAAGCTTCCCTTCGATTGCGGCTCGTCGTCTTTGATGGGTGCCAGGGCGCGTATTGTTTCGATGAGTATGCGGAATTGTTCATCCGACATCTGCGTCATTTTGTCCCCAAATTTGATAGTTTCTACTTCACTTCGACAGAAAACTAAGAAGGGAAGGGGAGGACGGCGACGGACGGTGGAGTATACAAAACTGGTCAACAACAGGCCACAGGCGACTGTTTTGTTTTTGTTTAGTCAACATTTTCTCTTGTGAAATAATCAGCTCATGGGGGGCTTTTTCGAAATTCGAACATGACATGGTATTGCGAAATGGGGTGCTGCAAAAGTCAAGAAAACTTGATTTACCGCAATTTATATTTATATTATTAATATTTCATGTTCAGTAACTCCATTAGGAACAAGAACATTTAATATAAAAATCTGAGGGTACAGATCCCATGAAATTTACTGGATTTTCAGATATACATGTGTAAATGTAAATGCAAATGCAATCGACTATAAGCGCATGACTTGCGTCAAAGCTGAGCGAGTTTATTCAGGTGTTTTTTTATTTGTAAACGTTTTTCCAATCACCCAATGCCGTTCTCTGATTAATATATAGGGTACTGCCATCCCACTCCTCGGTGGCCTAAGTTGTTGCCAGCCTGAGTTGTCCATACCTTCAATAGTTGTATTATGCCATCTTCGAATTGACTCTCTTGCGAGCCAGAAATAACTCTCCCTCTCTCGTTCTACATGTAGGAGAGGAGGGGATTCACTTTTCCTATCACACCTTTTATCTGGTTCAATTATATCTGGAATACATAGCGATAAGTGTTGTTAAAACTCAGAAACATGCATTTGTACTTAAACTAACTGGAAAGTCTGCAAAAATGGAAAATAATTGATAGAAATACAACATTTTATCTAAGACTATTTTCGTTATGTTAATACACGATATTCTGACTCACAGAAAATAGTTATTAAATCAGTCTGAATTTCACAACTGCGCGCAAATTGCATTCGTAAACTGTACAAAACATAGAGAGCTGCAGCTGGTACTATCAGCTTTTTTTTTGTATGGTGAATCATATGTATCGAAGCAACAACAATTTTGTCGAGTAGTGTAATCAAAGCTCTCTCTTTCGAATTCGAAACTGTATTTCACAACAGTCCGCTTTATAATGGATCCCAAGTAGCGGGAAAAGTTTAGTCACTTCGACCCAACGGCAACATTCGCTTCAGCCCCACTGGCTTTGTGCGCCGTTCACAACACAAGAACAAAATAAATTAATAACAACCAACGTGTTTTCGCTTAATTCCTCACCAAAGTAACCTCGAACAGAACCAACACCACAGAACACAGATAAAAATGGCGCAAACAATACAGATGACCCAGGAACAGCTACAAGAGCTCATCGCAGCCGTGCGCGCGTCCGGCGTGAGTGGCGCTGCCGGCGGAGCCGAGGGAGCTAATGCCAAGGCAAAGGGCAGCTTTGCTGCCTGCAACCATCGTTTTGGCGGAACACGCGACTACGATGAGGTCGAGGCATTCATTTCCAACATTGTCACCTACAAAGAGCTGGAGTGCATCAGCGACGAGAACGCCCTGAAGGGTCTGTCTCTGTTGTTCTACGGACTCGCCTCCACCTGGTGGCAGGGCGTGCGCAAGGAGGTCGTCACCTGGAATGACGTCATCGGGCTGATCCGCGAGCACTTCTCGCCCACCAAGCCCGCCTACCAGGTTTACATGGAGATCTTCCACAAGAAGCAGGAGGATATTGATCCCATCGATTCCTTCCTGGTCCACAAGCGCGCCCTGCTCGCCCAGCTGCCAGCAGATCGACACAACGAGGAGACCGAGCTGGACTTCCTCTATGGCCTGCTGAATATCAAATACCGCAAACACATCACCCGCCAGAGCGTGAAGACGTTCAAGGAGCTGCTGGAGCAAGGCCGCATCATCGAGCACAACACCCAGGAGGACGAGGACCTGGCGGCAACCAAGAACACACGTGGCTCCCGCCGCACCACCCGCTGCACCTTCTGCAACTTTCGGGGCCACACGTTCGAGGCATGTCGCAAGCGCAAGAAGAACCGCGACGAGGAACACGACGAGGAGTAAGCCAGACAACACAAGCATTTAATTTGGGGGCGACGACGGCTCACCGCCAGCAGCATTCCGCTCCCACCCCCCGCACACCAGAGAACTTTTCACCGCCGCGCTAGCCGCCCTGCGCCCTGAGAGAGTGCCATGCCCCCCAAACCCAACAACAGCGACAGCGGAGGAGCAGAAGCAGTTTTAAAACCAGAGAAAGCTTTTATCCCCAACGAATTCAACTCTTTCACTATCGCACACACACACACACACACACACAACACTCACACTCTCAGTCAAACGGCGTGCCGGTAAGCAGAGAAAAGCTTCTCTTTCTCTCTCTCTTAACAACTCTTCCGCTATTTGTGTGACGAGTTTTGCTCTTTCAGCGATTGCGGCCAAAAATTGGTGGCCACTGCAATCCCTTCGAAGGGCATTTCTCCGATAATGAGTGGCGACGTCTCAGAACATTCAATTTCACGCTGCCCTGCGGCTATTTTGGCGCCGAACGCCAACTCTTGGAACTCTCGAAATTTATTTCGAAACACTGTTTTTTTAAACTACAAACTAGAACCAACATCGAGCGCTGCCAGTGGAGGATGGGAGAGGATCACGCATCTCGTTTCGAGTTTGGATGCTTTGAATCGCAGATGTAATCCATGGCCAAACGCTGGTGGGATGTCCAAGGCGAAAGCCTTGTGCATCTACACCTGGCTTTAGCTCTGCAATTGCAATTGCGACCGAAGCCCCGAATAGATGTTGCGGGATCCGATCCTGTCCCCCGTCTGGTAGAGCTCAACAACCGCCGCCTTGACCTTGTGCCTGTCAGCGAAGAGGCAACGTATACGTGGCGTAAATGGTGACCACTGTATGCACCATACTGCAGGTGCCACCGTTTTAGCCGTTGTTTGCGTTGCTTCAGGTCTGTGCTTGGTCCTTGATGAAGGTGGCAAAAAACCCCCCGCCCGATGAATGCTCGCTTAGATCCTTTTGCATGTGGCTGTCGCTAGCCCAGGGCGGTGACTCCATGCTGGACGTGGCCTCGGCTGCGTCTGGTATGTGGTTGCTGCCAAAGGTGATGCTGCTGGTGCGACAGGAGCTACAGCGGGCACGATCTGGGCAAAACCACAAATTTCTCCGGAAATTTGAAACCAAATCAATTTTTTGACTTTGTCAAAATATGATCTATCTAGCACACATCGCACTACGATGGCTCCCGATTCGCCATTCGTGCGGTTGGCACGCCAAATTGCCAAATTCGGGATTACGGGTTCTGGGCTTTAACCCCTGCGATCCCGCGGCAAGCATTAGGCACGCCTTTCCCATCCACACACACACACACGCGAGCTGGGTCTCGTCGTTGTCGCGCATCTCCGGCCGGCACCGACTCTCCCAGCTCCACAATCGCTAAAAAACCAGACACTTGTGCAGAATCCATAGGCGCGTAGTGCCATCCAATAAGAGATTTCGACATGGTGGCCAAACTTGTGGGCGCGCCAACTGCTGGAGACTGGCCACAAACGCTCCACGAGAATGGCTCGCATTCCTCGAGGGACAGGAAGAATATTGTCAATTCAAATGACATTAAACTTGTCCCGAAAGCTGGGGGCCTATTGACGACCATACGTGTCTGATTTGAAGCAAGAAAATATAAACTGTAAAGACTGAAACTAAAACCAGAAAAAACCAAACCATAAAAACTACAAAACCGCATATGTTAAATTGTTTATTTATTCAATGGGACTGGGTGGAGTGGAGGGGGAGTGGAGGGGGTGTAATCTGACTCCAGCAACATATATTATTTCCTATAAAAGAAGCGGCTCCTCTCAATCAAATTGGATATTGGAAACTCTGATTCTGCGTTAATTTCGATATCGATGGCAGACGCGCGGAAGACACCGTCTATCGATGAGCTAAATTGCACTCCTGCTTTCTGGGCAATACAACCATCGTTATTATCGATAGTGCCATCGATGGTTTTGCTTTTGCTTTCTGGGCAATAATAATAATTTCATCCAATCAATATACCTGATATCAACAACTGAATGCACAAAACACACCGTCTGACGGAGAGCCAATACATGGAGGTTGAGGGTTTGCTGCAGGTAAATAATTGTGCCACTTGCAACCGCTGTAGCGGCTAGGTTTTCTGAATGTTATGGTTGCTACAACGCCCTTACTTTTTGCCCCGTCGCCTGCCGTCTCCACCCACTCGCAAAAAACACACATACAAACACAAATTTGTGCCTGCCCACGGAAAGCAGGCTATGGACATGCCCAGTAGTCGGGAGCACGACCAGGAAGGAGAAATCGAGCCGGAGCCATCATGCCGACTGAGCCGGTATAATGTGACGAACCTGTACGATGGACCTGTTACGGGACCGGGTCCTGGGTTTGGACTATCAGCGGGACCGGGACGTCAGCGTTGCTACACAATGCCGCACGTACCTCCACCAGCGCCGCCCTCCACACCTACGCTGCTGACCAGTGCCAACAGCAACAATAGCAATAGCAATGGAAATTGCAGCTCCAGCTCGCCCACCTGCTCGGCCGGTCTCACGGCCGACAATCAACTCAATCATTTTATCTATGTGAAAGGCAAGAACCTGCGTCGAGAGTCGCGCTGCGTCGACTCTGAACTGTCCAAGCTCTTTAACGTTGTGTCCATCACGAATCGCCTCACGGCCTTCAAGAATCGTTCGAAGCAACTGCAGCTGGCGGATCGTGGCATCATTAATGCATCGCGAACCATATCCAAGCTGCATGGTGCGACGGCGACCGCGACAGCGACGAAAATCTTCAAGATTCACCGCGATCCCAAGGACTTCCTGCGCGAAACGGACGAGGATTCTGTATCGGCGCCGGAGTACGATGAGGAGGAGGAGGATACGCGATTCCGTTTCTTCCGACGAACACGGCACTCCCGGCGACACTCTTACACCCGCATGGAGCGCAAGTTCGCCCGATTCGAGCATCACGAGCGCATGGAGACGATTGTCGACAGCTTTGATGCGGCCATGAGCTTCAACGATGCGGACACCTGATGGGCAACGAAAGCGTCAGCGAGCTCCATCAGAGGCACGCGCTTGGCAGAGGTGGTTGGCCAACCAATGTGATGAATGTGAATTTCAACTAAATTATTTTTATTACTACATACTACTATTATTACGATTATTATTACCGAACTGTTCTCTCCATACACTTAGTTCCCTTCAACGCCGATTGCCGTCGCGTCCTTGCGACTCTGAGTCCGACTCATTCCGACTCGGACGAAGGACGCAGCGCAGGGCAGAGCATTTAGTTTAGCTTAGTTTTTACGCCTCTGGGGCGGAGCAGAAGCAGCCGGAAGGCTGCACTCATGTTGTGCTTACACAAAAAACCGACAGAACGATTCCAATAAAAGCACAAAATGTGTTGTATGTATTTGAGAAGAGAAGAGAAAGAGAACTGCTCTTTGCCCCCCCGCGAATTGTGTGGGGCTTTTTCTTGGGCACAATAGACGTGCATGTGTCTACAAAGTTCCGAGAACCGAGCTGCGCTTTGTAAGCGAAAACAATAACATAACTAATAATAACATTCAGTGGGGGCTTAAATCTAATTCGAGTAATCTCCAATATTTAGACGCGCTCGGTGAAGAAGTTGGCCATCAGGTTCTCCTCCAGCTGCGTGGGATCGGTGACCGGCATGCGGCAGACGCGATCGTGGCAAATGTAAACTGTGGTCTTGCCATTTACCATCTTGAATTTCTTCTGCACCCTCTGATTGCTGGCATCGTCGGGATGCAGGGGGTCCACGTGCAAGATGATCATGCCTGGTATGAAAAACTTACGACAGATCTCCACAAAGCGCTTGGTATCATCCGAGTCGGGCCCCACCACGGCCACCAGATCCAGTCCGTTCTCGTGCAGCAGCAGTGCCGAGAGCATTTCGGGCAGGGCATGGCCAAAGGGCGAAACGTCGGCAAAGAAGTTCAGCAACTTGGCGGCTCGCTGTAAAAAACTCTCCTCGTCGTAGTAGTGCGACAGCAGCGTTAGATTGCGGGCGGAGACACTGTTGCCGCAGGGCTCAGCACCGTCATCACCATCCTTTAGCCGAACAATCACATTGGGGGCATTCTGTTGCGAGAAGAAGTAGGCACCATTCTGCTCGTCCCAGAAGAGTTTATCCTGGGTCTCTTGCAGCTCTTTGGCCCAGCGCAAGGCGCTGAGGTCCAGCGAGGCCTTGTAATAGTCGAGCAGACCCTTGATGAGGAAGGCATAGTCATCCAGGAAGCCATCGATTTGTGATCTGAAATGTGGGGAATATCATTATCTATGACTGCTTCATCTGCTAGAGAAACACCTACTCATTCTTCTCCAGGGCTGGATCCCCCACAGCCACCCCATAGCACGAGCGCAGCAGCAGCTTTTGTTCCGGATCATACATCTCCTTGCGCAGAAATTCTAAGAGTTCTTTGGCCGCTTTCATGTACTCCTCTCGCTTGGCTGTGCCACAATTGGCCAGCTTGGAGAGACCCGACAGCATTAGGCCATTCCATGCGCAGATAATCTTTGTATCCAGATGTGGTCGCGGCCGCTCATCCCGCAGCACATGCAGTATGTCATTTGCCGTCTCCAGCAGTTTGTCAAGTTTATCCGGCTGCAGGTCAAAGTTGGAGCAGGTGTCCTCCTCTGATCCACGCACAATTAGTATATTCTTTCCGGTCAGATGGCCATGTGGATCACTGTAGGTGGGCACATTGCCCTGCGGCTTGAGACCGTAATGGAAGGCATAGATCTCAAAGGCGCGCTTCGGCAAGACGTCGTCGAAACGCTTGGCCTGGTCCTTGAAGGCTGCTTCAATTTCGCTCCAGGTCCACGCGTAGAAGGCTCCCTCAACCTTGACCGTGTCTTTGTGAGTGGGCAATGAGTCGGCATCCTCGCCGGCATAGAAGCCACCCAGGGGATGGCGCAGGTCCTTCATTATATACTTATAGATATTGTCTGCATAGGTCAGAAAGGGTGCGCTCCTCGTCAGCTTATAGGCATTGGAATAGGCCGCCATCAGTTGGGCCTGGTCATACAGCATCTTCTCGAAGTGCACGTTGTGCCAATCCTTGGTTGTGGCATAGCGCGCAAAGCCACCAAAGATGTGGTCGTTGATGCCGCCACGACCAATGTGGTCCAGAGTCTGCAGCACCATGTCCAACACGTCCACATCCTTGCTCACCAGATAGGCATGAAAGAGGAAATTGAGGCGAGGCACCTCGGGAAACTTTGGCTCCGAACCGAAGCCACCGTTCGCTTGGTCGAACCGCTGCTTGTGTACACCGATAGCTTCCGCCAGCTTGGCGTCGGCGCTGCCCGGCTCAAAGGCAGCCTCTGCAACAGCGGACACATCCTCGTTTGTCTTCAAAGCATTGAGAATAGAGGAGCCCGACTCAATAAGCATTGGTCGATTCGTCTGCCATTGCTTGGCTATGGCCAGGAGGACAGTTTTGAACGAAGGCATGCCATACCGGCCTGTCGGGGGGAAATAGGTGCCAGCGGTTAGTGGAGCCAAGTCGGGCGTCAGCCAGATGCTCATGGGCCAGCCACCGCCACCCTTGGTCATGCGCAAGAATGTCATATAGATCTTGTCAATATCGGGACGCTCCTCGCGATCCACTTTGATGTTTACAAAATGTTCATTCATAACTGCCGCTGTCTCAGCGTTCTCAAACGATTCGTGCTCCATGACATGGCACCAGTGACAGGTTGAGTAGCCCACAGACAGAAAGATCATCTTATTCTCGGTGCGGGCACGTTCGAAGGCCTCCTCGCCCCAGGGATACCTGCAAAGAGTGGGTTATGCCAGCGCTCAATCGATGCAACGCTTAGTTTACTCACCAGTCCACTGGATTATACGCATGCTGCAATAGGTATGGAGACTTTGAAGAAACCAATCGATTGCCTGGAGCCTTTGGCGGCGCTGCCTTCGTTTCCCCTCCACTGGCCATTCCACGGTAATCTTGGCTAACTCCCGAACTGTCGAATTGGGACTTTAGTAACTACTTCCAATTATTTATGGGTTTTGCTTACTCGATAGGACTACGCCAACTGCGATGCAACACTCTCGGTGGCGCCTGGGGGGCAACAACTGCTGCGATTGACGTAAACGCGTGAAGGTTCCTTGCCGCTGTCAAAGTGCTTCGTATACCGAGATGAAGTTTGCTTCTGAACATATCAAATTGATGTTGGATATATCGAAGCGCTTTCTTTTCACTGGGCCACTAAAAGTGCAACGTGTGCAAACGCGTCGAAGCTGGGACTAACTAAGGCAATGTTTTTAATTTTATTTTGCATATCAGCTGTTTGACTAGGGCTGGCGGCAGCCAATTACATGGCTCATTTGCATAGGGCTGGCGAAACATCGTTGTTATTGCAATTGCGTGAATGAACTATGTAGACGAACTGGTAGCAACAGAGCGGCAGAGATTTGACTGACCATATAGTATGTATGCAGAATATATTTCCATCAATCAAAGTATTTCCAGCAAGAGTTCAGACACAATTGCCTTGTTTTTTGGGTTCTACCAGTCAAACGTAGTAGTATCCTTATCTATTGCAGTCGTATTTATTCAGCATTAAAATTAACAGTAAATATCTATTATTCAAAACAAAGAAAATATGTACTCTTTTCCTGAATTTGAACTAACGGAAATTTAAGCCAACTGAAATGCCATCCGTGGTCGCCGAAAAATACTAAACCGTGTGAGTGGAAAAATAGTATATTTCTGGGGATCAGCAGGGTATATTTGATCGCCAAGTCCGCGGTCACACTGCTGCCTGCCGACAACAACATAACTTTTCTATTTTAAACGGGCCTTTAATCGAATTATATTAGGTGTAATGTGCTGAAAAATACATAAAATAGCTACTTATCATAGATGTTAATGAGAAAGTCACTCATTCAACACCCACCACGTTTGTTATCTAGATTAGTTCATTTTATATAAATCAAAATCCTCATCTCGGCTGTGGCAAGCGGTTAGAGTTGTGTAACACGGTCGGGCCCGAAGACAGCAGCAGCAGAAACGCGAAAAGAACCTTGTGTCGCTGTGTTTTTTGAATTGAAGCAGATTAATACCATGGCGCTCGAGATGGATACTAAAAATTCAAATTCATCGGGGACGGCGGATGCAGCGGCTGCAACAACAAAAACCAACAAGGCCAAGGAGAACAACAATTTGGCCGGCAGTAAAAAGAATCAAAGTCAGAACTTGGTCAATGGCAATGGCACTACTGCTGGCGATGGCCCCGCAACGAAGAAGAAAGGTGCGTTCAACCTCTCCCTCCCCATCACACCCACCCCTCCTGTGCTCTCCATGGAAACTACCTGAATATTATTGCTGCAAAATCGAATCACATAACATTTTTAACATTACGTAATGGGTTTTTTCTCCCTATCATGCCTTAAAAGCGGCGCCCCCGCCCGCTGTCTCTGTCTCTAGCTCTGCCTCACTACCCTCTACCGCCCCCAATTCACCTCGCGATAGGCTGCAGGAGCCGCGTGCGTTACAATTGCAATGTAAAATGTGTGTTGGATTCGAAGTTACATTTTCATTTCGCTCGTCTGTCGTCTTTCGTCTGCCGCCTGTGCCTTCGTGCCAGCATGTGTGCATGTGTGTTTCTTGGCATGGCAACGCACATGTTGTTCACCCAATCCCGACTGTTCATTAACCCCTGTGGGACTGGCAGGGAGGAGATTTCTTGTTGAGTTTAACCTACAATTAACACGTGCTAGCTGCCCCAACTGCATGCAACAAACACACACACACAGATTACTCGACAATTATGTAAATCATGTTTTCTAAAACAGTTCGACACATCGCATCGGCCTATCTCTCGCCTGCTATGCTCTCTTTTCAACCAACGCATCGCGGGAGCGTTTTCCTCTTGCCCGCTCTCCGTGTTTACTTTGCATCATTGCTATCAGCCAGAGCTCTGTTCGTTCCCGTGCTGTAATCTCATAGGCGACAGTCGAAATTAGCATTGCTCTGGTAAAAATCGAAGGAGATCTCACGTTCGTTTACTGTCTGGGACTCTTCGAAATCGAATCCGATCCCGAACCCGGCCGGCCCCTTTGGCCTTATCAGTGGCGTGCTCTTTCTTCTGTTTGTTTTTCTGTCTTTTGTTTCATGAACTGCACACACACACACACACACGCGCAGGCAAATACAGACACAGTGAGTGGCGGCAGTAAACGAACATGCTGGTTCATTCGTTATGTAAATCTGAGACACACAAAAGACTTCAGAACCAGCCTGGGACTTAGCCTTCAGAATTCATAGGTATTGTAATGTATTGTACATTAAACAATGTCTCTGGAACCCTGTCAAAAGTTCAAAATGTTTTGGTTTTTAGCACTCCATTCGCACCGAATTGGGCCCCAAGTCTTTGTCCGCAAATTGAATGACAATACTAACCAGAATCCCATCCAATCTGTAGGCAAGAAAAACCGAAACAAAAGCCCACCCGTAACCGCAGATGAAGCCGCTCTGAGCAATGGACATGTCGAGGAGAAGAAATCCGAAGAAGATGGCGAGGCCTCGGCATCGGCATCGGCCGATGCTAATGCGAATGTGCTGGCTGTCAAGGAAGAGAAGGCGGCGGGCGGTGATGGATCGGCTGAGGCTGCTGAGCTCGAAACGGAGGACATTGACCTGGATGCCCTGCACGATGTGGGTATTCATGTGAACATCAGCTGTCCCGGAGCAGAGCTATTGACCGTGCAGCTGTCCAGCATGGAGCTGGTCCAGGAGATCCATCAACTGCTCATGGATCGCGAGGAGTCCTGCCACCGGACCTGCTTCTCCCTACAGCTGGACAACGTGACGCTCGACAATTTCGCCGAGCTGAAGACGATCGAACAGCTGGAGACGGGCTCCACCATCAAAGTGGTCGAGGAGCCGTACACCATGCGGGAGGCCCGCATCCATGTGCGTCATGTGCGCGATCTGCTGAAGAATCTGGATCCCGCCGATGCATATAATGGCATTGAATGCACCTCGCTGACCTACTTGAATACGATCACGCAGGGCGATCTCTTGGACAAGAAGAAGACGCGACCCGACTCTGTCGATTGCACGCCGCCGGACTATGTGACCCCCGGAGTGTTTGAGCCGCCACTGCTGCCCCTCCATCCGAACTTCAAGAACGCCAAGGGGCCACAGGCCCTGAAGGTGCTCACCACATCCGCGTGGAATCCGCCGCCTGGTCCCCGCAAGCTACACGGCGATCTCATGTATCTGTATGTCATCACCATGGAGGAGAAGCGCTATCACATCTCGGCCTGCTCCAGGGGCTTCTTCATAAATCAGTCCACGGACGACACCTTCAATCCAAAGCCAGACAATCCCAGCCATCTGAGTCACTCGCTCATCGATCTGCTCTCCCACATATCGCCCTCGTTCCGACGTGCCTTCCAAACCATACAGAAGCGTCGCACACTGCGACATGCCTTCGAGCGGGTGGCCACACCTTACCAGGTGTACCAGTGGGCGGCCCCCACACTGGAGCACACCGTAGATGCCATACGGGCCGAGGATGCCTTTAGCTCGAAGTTGGGGTAAGTGGCCCCTAATTAAGCAATCCCAATTGACCCTTTACTCACAGTCTTGGCGGTGGTCTTTCGTTCGTTTCGTGCAGCTACGAGGAGCACATACCCGGCCAGACGCGCGACTGGAACGAGGAGTTGCAGACGACGCGTGAACTGCCTCGCAAGACACTGCCAGAGCGCTTGCTGCGCGAGCGCGCCATATTCAAAGTCCATGGTGACTTTGTCACTGCCGCCACAAGGGGAGCCATGGCCGTCATTGATGGCAATGTGCTGGCCATCAATCCCGGTGAGGACTCCAAGATGCAGATGTTCATTTGGAACAACATATTCTTCTCCCTCGGCTTCGATGTGAGGGACCACTACAAGGAGTTGGGCGGTGACTTCGCCGCCTATGTGGCACCGCGCTACGACCTCCATGGTGTGAGGGTATACAATGCCGTCGATGTGGAGGGTCTGTACACCCTGGGCACGGTAGTGATTGACTATCGCGGCTACAGAGTGACCGCCCAGTCCATCATACCGGGCATCCTAGAGCGCGAGCAAGAGCAGAGCGTTGTCTATGGATCCATAGACTTTGGCAAGACTGTTTTGAGCCATCCCAAGTATTTGGAGTTGCTGCGGCAGGCGGGCAAGCATCTGAAAATTCTGCCCCACTCCGTGTACAACGAGCGAGATGAGCCTGTCGAGCTCTGCTCTTCGGTGGAGTGCAAGGGCATCATTGGCAACGATGGCAGACACTATATTCTCGATCTGTTGCGCACCTTCCCGCCAGATGTCAACTTCCTGAAGCTGCCGGAGGTCAAGCTCAGCACGGAGCTGGCTGAAATGGGTTTCCCCATCGAGCATCGCCACAAGTTGTGCTGCCTCAGGCAGGAGCTGCTGGAGGCCTTCGTTGAGGATCGGTACGTGAACTTCATTCGGATCGCTGCCATGCATCTGCAGCAGCTGAATGCGAAGAAGCCGGAGGATACAGAGCCAGAGAAGAAAAAATTGCCTGCCATAGAAGAGGCAGAAAAAGAGAGCAAAGAGAATGGAAATGCAACTGGTGAAAATGAGAAGCAGAACGAGAATCAGCCGGAACCGGAACCGGAGAAGGAGAAGGAACAGGCTACCCCTGTCGAAACAAAGAACGCCGAGGCGATGGTCAATGCCATACGGGAAGCCCAGTCGAATGTGGCCACCTCCAATGAAATTCAGGCTGCCGAGGTGGTCAAGCAGGCATGCGCCGCCGTTGGCTCGATGAAGGAAAAGGAATTCGATTTTCGCTTCAATCCCGACGTCTTCTCTCCGGGCATTCGCCACGTTGATGGCGAGGAGGGCACCTCTGGGTCGGTGGCTAAGCAAAAGCTGCTCGTGCAGGATGCCGCCGAGTTCCTTGTGGTTAAACAGATACCCGCCTTTGTCAAGGAGCACCTATCCCACTCCTCGCCCCCAATTGATGGCCAGAATCTGACAGAGTCCCTGCACAGTCACGGCATCAATGTTCGGTATCTGGGCAAGGTGATCAAAATGCTGGGCCAGATGCCACGCATGGACTACCTGTACCGCATTGCCATCATGGAGCTGATCGTGAGGGCAACCAAACACATTTACTACACCTACATGCAGAGCACCGACCCCATGCAACTTTCCGTCGCCATTAGCCATTTTCTGAACTGCTTGCTGACCAACGGCCCCGTCAATCCTGTCATCAGCAACGATGAGGTGCACAAGAAGCGTGGCGGCAACGGTGGCAAGCACAACAAGCACAAGTCCTCCAAGGGCGGCAAGGGACAACAGCAGGCGGCAATCAATCAGAATGGTGGTGGCAGCTCAGCATCCTCCTCCAGCTCCTCGGGCGCCTACGACTGGACTCTGGTCACACCGCGTTCGCTGTGGCAGCAGATACGCAAGGAATCGAAGGCGTACTGGGACTGGGATCTCGACTGCGACTCCATGGACAGTGCCATGCAGAAGTTTGGCATCATGCGGATTTGCCTGCTGCGAGCCTTCTGCCTGAAGGTGGGAATTCAGGTGCTCCTGCGCGAGTACAACTTTGATTCCAAGCACAAGCCCACATTTGGCGACGATGATATCGTCAATGTGTTCCCAGTGGTGAAGCACATAAGCCCCAGGGCCTCCGATGCCTACAATTTCTACACCACGGGCCAGGCCAAGATACAGCAGGGACTGTTCAAGGAGGGCTACGAACTAATCAGCGAAGCGCTCAATCTGCTCAACAACGTATTTGGGGCCATGCACCAGGAGAACGGCTCATGCCTGAGAATGCTGGCCCGGCTCAGCTATCTGCTGGGCGATGCCCAAGATGCCTTGGCCATTCAGCAGCGTGCGGTTATCATGAGTGAGCGCGTAAATGGCATTGACAATCCATCGACCATTTTGGAATACGTAAGCATTCGCATCCCCCTCATGCATTCAGTTAATTGAAACGATTCTTGCAGACACACCTATCGCTCTATTCGTTCGCCAACGGACATGTGGGAATGTCCCTGAAACTTTTGTACAGAGCCCGCTACCTGTTGGTGCTGACTTGCGGCGAAGATCATCCGGAGGTGGCTCTGATCGATGTAAGCATTGAATGCATGTGTATGGAACGAGGGATATTGAATGCTTCTTTTGATTTCAGAGCAACATCAGCTTGATCCTGCATGCGCTGGGAGAGTATGAGCTGTCGCTGCGCTTCATCGAGCACGCCTTGAAGCTGAATTTGAAATACTTTGGCAACAAGGCAATGCATGTGGCAGTCAGCTATCATTTAATGGCTCGCACACAGTCTTGCATGGGCGACTTCCGCTCAGCGCTGAACAATGAGAAGGAGACCTACTCCATTTACAAGTCACAGGTAAGAAATCCATACCCCAGGCGTTGGCAGCCAGTGGAAATTTGTACGTACCATTTAATTGTGTTTGCTTTACTTTCGTTTAGCTTGGCGATAAGCATGAAAAGACTCGGGACTCGGCCGAATGTCTGCGACTGTTGACCCAGCAAGCTGTGCTCCTGCAGCGCAAGATGAACGATATCTATTCCAATGGCAAGCTGACCAGCGACCTGCCGCCCATTCACATTACACCGCCCTCGATGGGCTCAGTGCTGGAGATGCTGAACACAATCAATGGCATTCTGTTTGTGCAAATTAGGTGAGTCCTATGGCTGCGGCAAACGAACTCAAAACTGTTGCTGTTGGCTAACGTTTCGTTTTTCTTTCTTTCTTTCGACTCACACAGCCAACGGGACATCGTTAAGGTGCGCAGCGAAATTGAGAAGCATTTGAAAGCCAATACCGATGAGAGTGAGGTGAACGAGGCGATCAAATCGATGGTGGCTGCTGCGAATAACAACGGGGAATCCGAGATTGTGGCGCCCGCTCAGCTGACAAATGGCGAGACAGCAGCCACCAATGAGACGGTATCAAGTTGAAGACTCTAAAAGCAAGCAACAAACAAAATGTCACAAAGTCGTATCGTATCGCCAAACTTATTTTTGGGACTCTGCTAAATTGCAACATCAAAAGTTTTGAACAAACTGCAACGTCAACAACAACAACAACAATAAGCATGCTAAACAAAATAACATAAATGAAGTGTCTGCGTTTTTTAAAGGCTGCTCCTTGTACTGCTCACACACAAACACACACACATCGCATCGCAACGCAACGTATCGCGTATATAGAAATACATTACATGTAGAACGGCTATAACCCTTAATGCGGTATATGCCAATAAAATATTTTAGAATTAGTCAAGCAAACTATCAGTCAGTCAATCCACACACAAACCAAGCATCGTTATCCACTTTCCCCCCAGCTATAAGACAAAAAGTTGTAATGTTTTCAAACAGAAACACACAGATAGACACACACACACACAGATTGTTTTGTTAACCATTTGAGAGTGCCCATCAAATGCCTTTTATAGTTAATAATAATTCATTGATTGCACACATCCTATCCTACTATAATGCATTCATTGTTTTCTGTTGGAATCAACTTCACATCGAGTGCATGAATTGTTTTACATTAAGGTGCGCCTTGGCATTGGCATAAAGAGAGATCAGAGAATTATTGAATGAGTACGTTTTTTGTTATACAACCATCATATAGATATATATACATATATCAGAACATTATATTACTTATAATGCATACACGTTTTGCTGGGGTCCTTGCTGTGTCAAGGACTTGCCGAACATTAATCATATGAACAAAATGGTTTTTTATTATTAAAATGATCCGAAAAATGATCAATAAAACTTAAGAAGCTGCCAAGCCAAGCTGTTTTCTGTATTCACCAGGTTTTGGGGATACTCTATTCGATACTGGAATGGCGGTACATCGACGTCAACATTTGGTACACATAAATCGTAATGTATAAATGCATAAATGTAGGTACAATATATTCAGAAACTTAATCTCTACTTCCGTTTCCTGCACTTGTTGCGCCCCTTTCGGCGTCGGCCAGGAGTTTTTCCTGGAGATTTGCCATTTTTCGCTGCTGCAGTCTGCTGCGGCTGCTGCTGCTGTTGCTGACTCTTGGGCGTGGAGCCCGCTGTAGCTCCAACGTTGCCTCCAGCACTCGAGGCGGCACTGTTTTGTTTGCTTACTCGATTGGCAGCACTTTGGCCGCTTACCTTCTTCGAGGGCAACAGATGCTGGCTGACCAACTCGCCGAGAACGCCCTGGTGGGCCAGCATTGAGAGGAAGGTGCAGATGAATTTGTCGTAATTGTGCGTACGACGACTGGCATCCACTTTGAACATGTGCCGACGATCGTTCTCGTCCGCCAAATGCTGCTCATTGATGGCAATTTCTGTGTCCAGGTTCTTGAGCAGTGACTGCAGATCCCGGGCTGTGAAGGCGCTGGGTTCTAGGAGTGTGGTGGGTGTGTCCGGTCGCTGCTGGTCACCATTACCCGATTCGCCTTGCTCGTCAGCCTTCAGCAGTTTTTGCAGTGTGCCGGAGACAATCGCCTGATTGGTGCGAAGCATTTTCAATTTGTGAGTAATTGCAATCCGTCGGTCGGGCACAACGGCCATCAGATTGAAGCGTATGTCCTGCTCGCCTGTGGCTATGCCCAGTCTCTCCGCCATCACACGCCGAAACTTATCCGTCCAGTCCTCATGGTCCTCCCATCCGCCATGATTCATGGGATACGGCTTCAGGCCATCGAGCTCAAATAGCTGACCATTGATGGGCACAAAGCTGACAAAGTGAAAGGCTTCTCCCGTAAAACGGCAACTGGCGACACCAGCGCCAGTTCGCTCTAGGCGGCGTCGTGCCTGCGGCATGGCATGGGAGTTGTGGGCACATGCCAGCTCCGGAGTGTTGCCTATGGCCAGCCCTTTGTTCTCCGGACTCATGCCTTTGGTGTGGATCTTTAGGCGACTTAGTGTATCGCCCAGCTGCAAGTTATTCTCGTTGCAGTTCAACAGGACGGAAAGCAGGGCATGGGTGGCACAACTATTGGGCACAACCTGCTGGGCAAAGAATATGCTGGAGATGGCTTCTTCGTCCTTAACGAAGATCTCGGCGGTGGTCTCCACAATTTTCCGACGTGCTCGCCGCTCTTCGATCCAGCGAAAGAGGAAAATGAAACCGTAGGGGCTTTCGATCGGCTTCTGGAGATCATACACCTCCTCCACCTGAACGTCGTGACCTAAAAAATCAATTGAATTTGAATATGGTGGGCTGAGAAGTCAATCAGGTTACTAATTACAGCCGAAATCCTCTAGGAGCAGCGTGAAGAGACCCGGATCGGACTCCAGTTCCAGCCAACCGTCCGCTAGTTGGGCCATCGGCATGGTGGTAGCTCCAGTCGTAGATCCCAGAAGAGAATTATTGAAAATGCTGTTGGCTGCAGCCGCACTTGTGCTGGTCGCCCCAGGACCTGCTGCGACGTTCATTGTGAAGAGCCGCTCCAAAATACTCGGAATATGTATGTCCAAATGCTATTTACGAAACCGATCAACGGTTGAAAAGGAATTCCGAGTAAATTGTCGTGTTTTGCTATTTGCGGCAGTCTTTTTTTCATTAATTTTGTTGTCTTTTTGATTAATGTTGGAGATGTGCAGAAACGTTTTTATAGTTTTTCGATAGTTAAATAGAGATGGGAGCAATACCAAACTGCATGATCCGGCAGCACTGTTCAACGTCAGCTGTTATTCACGTAACTGGAACAACACCAAACTTTTCTCAAACTTTTCGCTGAAATATACAAAATTTGTCCTTAAAGAAATGGTACGCACCACGGTAATTGGTCTGGCCAAGCGTGTGCCGCTCATACAGTTCCGCAAAGGAGGATTGGGTGCGGCTGCGGCCGGTGCACAGACTGCAAATAAGCAGGCAAGTTCAAAGCCAGCAGGAGGCAAAAAGGTTAACTTTTGAAGCCCATTTACTAGAAAATCTATTGTGCTGTAGTGTAGAATTGGAAAACACTAATTTGCTCTTCTTCCAGCTGGCTGGAGGACCTGCCATAGAGGATTGGGAACTGCCGGCACGCTTTGCACGCAAACCCATAGATCCCCTGGAGGCGGAGTATATCAACAACGGCGGCATACCAAACTAAAATTGCAAAGCTTACGCGGAAAAAATGTTTTATTTATAAAATAAATTTGTCTTGAATCCACCATTTGGCACGAAAATAGTAATAAATTTAAAATCTACGACTAATTGTACAACAACAAAAGATAGTCGCAGCTGGAGCGAAAGCTCCGAAGTGCTTTTTTCTCTCTCTGGTCACACTCTATAGAATTTGTGACGTTTTAGACGCTTTATCAAAAAAACCAAAATATCGAAACGCAAGCCACATTTCGAGGTGCTATTTTTTGTGGAGAAGACGTTTCATTGCCACCCAGCCAATTGTTTGTCTACCCAACGCTCATTTTCCGCCGCGTGCCGTTGACCGTCGCGAACAAAGAGTGGAAAATTTCCAACTCAGCAGAAAAATCCTTTTGTGTTGCGGTGTACCGTGTGGAAGGGGAAAAGTGAAACGAAACCTAAATAACTGCTGCTGTGCTGCTGGTCAAGAAAAGAACGTCTTTTCTGGCCCAAACTTCTGATCGTCTCGCATTTGATTTAATTTGGATGGGTGTGAGGCGTAGTATGCAAGAGAACTGCTGCAACAAGGACTGCCTGGGTCTCCGAAAGCGTGTCTGCGGTCTCCATCAAACCTTCAAGTGGCTGCACCAGACCCCCGCACTGCACGAGTATTTGATCTCCGCCAGTTCGGTTGCTGCAAACACAGGCAAGGCAAACGAGCCCAGAGCAACAGTCTAAAGTCCACCCCAAGACCAAAGCAATCAAACCAAACGAATATAGATCAACAATATTAGCTAAAGTAGATAGGAAATTCGATTCTAAATTAGGACAGACAATCAAAATTCAACCTAACCGCACAAAGAACAAACAGCAACAACAACCGTTACGAACTTTTGCCGACATCTTTGACCTTGTTTTGATTACAAGTGCACTCAGTTGTTTGCACCCCTTGCACCCCGCTCGCTTGACAACTGATACAGTTTTCCTCTTCCTCGAGGCACAATGAGCTTGCTCTTGCGTCGCAATTCGAGCCAGCTGCGTCTGCTGCTGGCATCTGGAAGCAAAATCACGCGCCTCGCCTCAACTGATAGCAGCGATGTAGGTGAACCATCTGCCCCAGCAGTGCCCCCCACAGCTGTAAAGCAGAGCAAGCCACAGCGACAGGCCCCAGCAGCTGTGCCAGATGCCGAGATCAAGAAATCGGTGTTCATCTCTCAATCGAATGACATCTTCACCAACCTGGCCCTGGAGGATTGGCTGTACAAGAACTTTGACTTTGGCCACCATCACGTCCTACTGCTGTGGGCCAACGATCCCTGTGTGGTCATTGGTCGCCACCAGAATCCGTTTACCGAAGCGAACGTCTCCAAGCTGATGGAGCGCGGTATTACCCTGGCACGGCGCAACAGCGGAGGCGGAGCCGTTTACCACGATCGGGGCAATCTCAATTGCACCTTCTTCACGCCCAGAGAGCGCTACGATCGCAAATACAATTTGAATATTGTCACTAGGGCGTTGTTCCGCGAGTGGGCCATCAAGGCGGAGATCAATGAGCGTGACGACATCGTGATAAGGAACAAGAAGGTAAGCACGGGGAGCAGAGCTTCTTATCAGCCACTGATCTCTAGTTGACCTTGCATTAGCGCCAGCACACACACACACACATACAGCTGAACTCGTATTCGTATAGCCAGGCCAGTCAGGTCTGTTCCCCAGTCCCATTGATAATTTACGCCCTTGCTCAATTACAGATTTCAGGAACAGCCGCCAAGCTGGGGCGCCCGAACTCCTATCACCACTGCACCATTCTGGCCAGCGCCAACAAGCTGCATGTGGGGGAATCCCTGGTCAAGGAGCCAGCCAACTACATCAGTCGTGCCACAGCCTCAGTGCCTTCGCCCATACGCAATCTGGTGGATGTGAATCCGAATGTGAACGTCTCGCAGCTGCTCTCCGCGGTGGGATACGAATATCTTCGGACGGTGGCGACCTCTTTGGAGGATGGCGGAAGCGCCCAGACAATGCAGCAACGCGGCTTCCAACTGATCAATCCCACGGAGAAATGGTTCCCTGGCATCGAAGAGCTGCGGTCCAACTATAGCTCTTGGGATTGGGTCATTGGAAAGACACCGAAGTTCACCGTCGAAAAGGATCTCGAACTGAAGGGCGACGAACAGGGCATGATGCTCAAGCTGACTGTAGAGGTGGAGGCAGTGAGTGGAATACTTATAGCTTTTATAACCCCTTATTATATCCCCCCTTTAATTGCGTAATCTTCCTTGCAGGGCTTGATGAAAGAAATCGGCATTAAGCTGCCACACAGCGAGGAGACTGTGCCCGTGGTGACGCCCCTCCAGGGCAAGGCCTATAACGAGCAGAACCTGAATGGCATCATGGGTGCCCTGAAGCTTGTCTCCGCATCCAATGTCAAGCAGGCAATGAACGGCTCCGGATGATTGGAGCTTTCTTAGCGGCAAACAAATATTAAAACCTTTATACAAATAGTCCAACTAATCCGCCTAACGTAGATATAGTGTTTTCATGAAACCATATATTACTAACATAGTTTACAATTAATTAACAAAACCAACTAAACCAACTAACTTTTGTTATCCACGTTATTTTTTTATAAAAACAACTGCAATAAAATGTTGAAACATTTCTATACAAATATTAAGATCCTTAACGGGGAAGAACAGTAAGAACAAGCACCAGTAGGAAGGACACTGTCGACCGATAATTTAATTGCTACAAACAGCAACATATACAGTACAGTAGATATTGGTGAATGAATAGCTAAAAGCCCGTATCACGGTAGTCAAAGGTGTGGACATCTACCTCGAAGCGGTGATAGCGCTCATAGTATTGGCCAAAGAAGAATCCCTCCGTCTGATACAGCATATACATTCGATATTCGGCCTCGCTCATGAACCTCTGCTGGTACGAGTCTCTGCAGAATTTGGGAAAATCGTCCATAAACTTAAATGATCCAGAAACGTCATAGTCGCAGGGCAAGTGCGTATCATCGAATGATAACTTAACTTTTGGCAGATCTGTTCTCGCTCGCTTAATGCGCTTAATGGTCTTCGCGGCGGATGGCAGTATAACAGAAGGGGCACGGACTGGTACCTTTGCCTTGGATGTGGCGTTGCTCTTCGGGCCGAATGCATCGTGGGTGCCATTGCTGGAAGAGTTGCTGCCTCCGTTCTCCATGGAGATATTCTTGGCATCGCCGCATGGCAATTGGACCTGCAATTCGAGACTGAGGATCTAAGGGTCTATGCAACTTAGAAGCAAAAGCACTTACCAATAGTAACACAATTAGCGTCAAGGATATGAAATACAATATGATCTTCATATTATCGAATAAAAAACGAATGCTAACAGTGTGTGCCTTGTTCGTGGAGTGAGTGTGATTGAATAAACTGTGTGGGCGTGACAACAATATCACTGACAAACAGTCGGAATGTTTTTTTCTCTTTAGGCAGAAACAACAGACACATCAGGATAAATACAAAAATTCATTTTATATGTAAATGTTTTAAGGCACTTTCGATTGACACATTTGTTGTACGAATATTACAGATTATACAATACATATACATAGATCGGGACTCGCGAAATACTTTTAGTGCAGTGGGAAAGGGGATATAACAAGCGCGATCAACGAGCCCCTAATGTCTAATGACAAAATCAAATAAAATAAAATACTCCAATAAATATTGCGAGTAAAAAATAAACACACAAAAGTAACTTTAAATAAAAAAAGATTGCACTTCAAAAGAATGGGACGAAGGTGGAGCCCCCCACACGGGATCCTATATATGAACGGTTTGCACCATATCGGGCAGGTTTTGGTAGTCGGGATCGCGGGTGAAGAACTCCATTAGATAGGCAAAGGTTGGCCGGTCTTTGGGATGCTCCTTCCAACAGCTTAGCATTGCCGCATAGATGTAGGCCGGGCAGAGATCGGGCTGGGGCAACCGCTCGCCACTTTCCACCAGCTTGATGGCATCCACATTGGAAATCTCGCCATAGGGAGGCGCACCGAGAGCAAACATCTCCCAGATGGTCACACCGAACGACCACACGTCACTGGCATGCGAGAAGACGCCCAGATTGAAGCTCTCCGGGGCGTACCAACGTATCGGCCAGCGACCACCCTGTGTGAACTGGTATTCGGTGCTGCCGGGCCTCAGGGAACGCGACATTCCAAAGTCACTGATCTTGGCCTGCTGGCGGGCGGTCAACAGTATATTCCTGGCAGCCAAATCCCTGTGCACAAAATGCTGAGATTCCAGATAATGCATGCCTGCAAATAGACTTAAAGTGAGAGCTGAACTACGACTGTGTCGAGACTTTGTACATACCACAAGCGATCTGAGATGCCCACAACTTCAGCTCTGTGTTGGCGGTGATCTGTGCACTGTGATCGAGTATGTACTGGAGCATGGAGCCCAGGGGAGCCAGCTCCTGTACCATCATCAGCATATCTCCCTTCGATATGCCAATGAGACGCACAATACACTTGTGCTCCAGGCGCATCATCACCGAGGCTTCGCGCAGAAACTCCTGTTTGTTGCTGTGCTCATCGCACAGCATTTTGATGGCAACCTCCTGGCGAGCCGACTCTATGGTTCCGCCGCCGCCTCCACCCTCACTGCTCTTCTTCAATAGCCAGCCACGGTGCACAGAGCCGAATTCCCCGTGTCCGATTTCGTTTTCCAGCAACAGATTCTCTCGGTCGATGAAAAATCTCAGCTTGGCCGCCTCCAAAGCGGCTGAAGTGGGCGTGGTTGGAGTTTCGCTGCACTTCCGATGCAGGTAGCCAGCCATTTCGCTCTCCGTGGAGGCGGTGGAGATGAGCGAATTGAGGCGCGTCGGCGCCGGTGGCAGCGCCTTGATCGGTTGATCCAACAGCCAGAGCACATCCATAGTAGGCTGATAGCCATTGGCGTTCCACTGGCCGGCACGCTCCCGTTCAATGGCCACATCGCTCTTGGTGAAATACTCCACTTCTGCTTCAGTCTTTTGGGCAATTGGAGGCAAGTCAATATCAATGGGCGTATTGTTTCTGGGCACATTGTACAGCTCGCCCTCAGCTGCAGCTCCTGCTACGGCACCAACTGCATCCACATTGAAATTGGAAAATTCCGTGGAGAATGACAGACTCTTGAGCATTGGGGCAGCTGCCTGGAGCTCCTGCTCCCGCTCCGACTTGGCCAGCGATCCGCTCACACTGCTCTCGGACTCGGATCGCTTGCTCTTGGATTTGCTCTTGCGCAGGCTGTTCATGTCGAACAGAGCCTTCTTAGGGCTCGTCAGGCGCAGAGTGTTGAACATGGAGCTGCTGTTCTCCTTTTGCTTCTTCTTCGAAATGGTCAGGGCGGGGACATGCGGGTGGGCATTGTGCGGATGCGGCACTGGAGTGGGCGGCGTCACCGGTGGCGTTGTCCTGTTCTTCACCGTAGAACGTGGTATGGTCGCAAACGAGGGCACCTCCGGCTTCGGCTTTGGCGGCACGGCATACTTAAGGCTAACTGGCAGGCCATACGAGAAGCGCATAAAGTTGGCTATCAGATGCTCCAGGCTGGGCCAGTAGGGACCGTCATCGATGAACACGAATTTCGACTGAAAGGCAGAGTTTGGTTAGCGGAACTTTTCGACACTTAATTATTGGGTTGCATCACTCACGCCATCCGACTGCACTTTGACACCGTTCGAGTAGAGAGTGGCCTGCGATATGCGAAAGTTCTTCACCACCTGATCGCTGAGGAGGGTCAATACCAGGCCAGACGCCGCCGGGGATTCGGAAAAGCGCACAAGGAAGCAGCCAGAGGTGTCGACACCGGGCTGCTTGGCCAACAGCTCTTTGGCATATTGCGTGAGCATGGCCACGGCCTCATCCCTCGTCTGTGTGCCATGGTACCACTGCTCCCTGGTGGTGCTTGCCGGCGGCAGCTTGTAGTTGAGCAGAAATTGCTCGACGGCTGCTTGTCCCGCTTCCTTGGCCAGATCAAAGGGAAACTCGCCAGAGCTCGTGCGTGGCAGCAGGGGAGCTTCGGCCAGCAACAGCTCCTGGACAGCCTCCAGATTGCCATGCTTGGCCGCCTCATGCAGCGGCACGAATCCGTTCTCAATGTTTCTGCCCTGGACATTGGCCTGCGCAGAGATCAGGGTGCGTATGAAGCTGGCCGGTTTGTTCCGTGCCGCGTACTGTGTAGATTGAAGCGAGAATTAGCAGGGAAATCAGCTATCGAGATCGTTGGACACTCACATGCAATGGCTGGCATCCGAAGGAGTCGGAGCTGTTGACCTGAACTTTCGCATCCAGCAACAGTTTCAAGATCTCCTCATCGCAGTGCAGCGCAGCCAAATGGAGGGCCGTCTGTCCATGCTGATTCTTGGCATCGAAGTTGCGGTAGCCACACTTGAGCAGCTCAAACACCACTTTGCTCTCGTTCTTGCTGGTGGCACGGTGCAGCAGATTGGTCACGCCATGACTGCGTGTGTTGTGTGGCGGCGGATCACGTAGCAGCGGTACCGTCAGCTTGGTGGGCAGACCATTTGCCCCCTGCTGATAGTAGTCCACCAACGTGTCCAGCCCGTGAAGTATCTTTGTCTGCATCTCATCATCGATGGAGAAGAAGGCATCCTCCCCGTGGCGTCGCACCTGATAGTGGCACACCTCCTCCTGGCAGAGTATCGACAGTACAAAATCGCCAGCTGCTGTGCTGCTCTCCCGCACCAGAAACGTACCATCCTCGTAACCTGTGGTGGTTGGAGGGGACAATCAATTTAAATTACGATTCATTAGGGTACGCCACGCCCACGTCCCTGTTTTCAGTGATTGAGAAAACCAAAGTTTTTGTCTGTTTACTTGCCTTGTCTCAACAGATCGTCAGCCGCCTCACGTGATAGATTGGCGTGAAACCATTTCATGTGATCATCGCGACTCATCGTATGGCCATCTAATTGCTATCCTTTTCTATTTTAATCTAAGAAATTAAAACTATATTTTAATTTATTGTGTTAATAAATTGTTTAGCAGTGTGACCGCGCCGATAACGATAAAAAATACCATCCGACCAAAAAATAAATACCATTAAATACCATTTTAGTTTCGAGAAATACCATACCATAAAAACACCATAAAGTGACCAAGTCGAAATATAGCATTATATGCCTGGAATTTTTTTAAAAATATCAGTCTTACCATGTATAAATTCCTCAAGTGATTTCACTTGATCGCGCTTGAAAAATATATCGTTATACCGAAATATTGATTAAATATACCATTATATTCCGATATATATATATTGGTTATCGATCAGAAAACTGAACGCGGTCTATCGAGGTTGACCCATCAATGAGAGTCACACCTGTTCATATTAGGCGCTGGTTTAAATTTTAATTTCATGTATGTGAAATAATCTGCAATCAAACTAAATACTAAAGTAAAAACACGTTTATTTTAATGGTATCGCTTATTGTTTTATTGCGTTTCTTTCAGTTGTTTTTTGTGTGTTTGTTTTCATCCTCTTTTCAATTTTTTTTGAAGGCGCTACTAAAAACAAAGAATTCAATTATGAGCGATTACTTGTATGTTAGATTATATTCATTTGTTTTCTCTCCGCTAATTCGTTTGTGGTGGTTATGTGAGAATAGGCTTAAGCATTTAAAAAACGACTATACGCTATGAAATATGTCATTAAAATTAACACAAAGAGTTTTTTAAATTATGAAATATATTTATATTAAAACATTTAATGTCATCAGAAATGTATTCATTTATTTATTTATTATTCTGCATATATGCATTTATTGGGTTTTAGGTTGTTTCTTTTTTCTCCATTCAGCGCAGAGGAGCACTCATGAGTTTCGTTTTCGATTTTTCGTTTCTTGCTGTTTTTCTAGTTGCTGGTTCTTTTTTTAGTTTTATTTTTATTATATTTTCTCTAGTAAGTATTGTGGCAACTTAAGTGACTAAAGGTAGATAGCTACGTACATACATAAAATATATATTTAATTCCCCCCACTCGACTCACTCCCCCAATTCATATACACAAACACGCAAACGCACACGCACACTGACACACACACACAAACACTCGCCCTTGGATCCAGCGTTCAAATCCGCCCTTAGAATTATAATTAGTGGCTTAGAATTGCTTAAGCGTACAGCATTTTCGATTGTGTGTTGGTTAAGTAGCTGTTCTAATCATTTTGGATTTTATTATTTTCAGGCATTTTGCCTCGAAACAAACCACCATCAAGAAAATATACAAATTTCGCTTATGTGTGGCAAGTTTTCGAATCAAATTGCTGAAAATCTAACTAGCATTGACAATGAATTTTGGTTCGACTCCTGGCCGGTTTTTGCTTTTGCTTTTGTTGTTGTTTATGTTGTCTTGGTCCTTTATCCACTCTTGCTGCTCTGGTGATCTTCTTCTTCTTCATCTTGTGTGCTTCGGCTCCTGGCTGCTGCTGTTCTTTCCATTAAAAAATAACTAAATTCTAATGTAGAACAAAATTAATGAACGTATCTCCATCTATCGAACGAAGCACTCAAGAAATCATATGTTCTTCTTGAGTTTTGTTGTTAATGTTTTTTTTCCATATCCATTTCATTTTTTTCCTTTACATTTATGACTTTTTCTTTGTTGTTGATTGTTGCTGTTGTTGTTGTTGCTCGCCGCTGCCGCTGCTTGTATATGTTATATATATTTGTTTCTTGCATTAATTAGATATTGAAGAGAGCTTTTGGGAAACTCCGTTCACAGTCTTTGATTTAAGGACATCGTTTTCATATGAAAAGACGGTTTCCTTGCCGTTCTCGATGACCCTGCAATGAATTGAACGAACGAGAACAGAATTGTTAATGAGATACTAAAATGCATTTGCTGCAGCCTATCATACCGTTTGGTCATCAGCTTCTTGCCATTGACAAACACCGTCGATGTGGAGGTGCGCTTAACGGCTGCATTGGGGCCACCAGAGATGTGGGTAACGCCACTGCTGCCATTTCCAGCTGTCATGGACGAGAACGAGGTGAAACCGCTGGTGGGGGGCATAAAAAAATCCATCATTGAGTAGTTGAGCATGGGCGCCCCAAAAGGGCTGGCCATTTTGTGCTGGTGATGGTGATGATGATGGCGCGATGCTCCTCCAACGCCCGGAGCACTGGACCCATGACGTCGACTGCTGCTCGAACCGACGCCACCGCCGCCGCTCGTTGTTCCATTTGTGTATCCATTTGCATCTGAATTAGAGATTAAATAAGATCAATCAGCAGCAACCGCTGCGGATACAACCGCACACACTTACCTCTGAAAAAGTCGGCAAAGGGCGAATTTACGCCAAAGAACTCGCGGAAGACCTCCTCTGGTGGTCGGAAAACGAACGGAAAGCCGCCCATAATATCAAAGTCATCCACAAACTCGTGTGTGTTGTAATGATGACGGGCATGAGAGTTGCGGCTCTGGCCGCGTTCGCCCAGACCATCCTTCCCGTACTCGTCATAGATGCGACGTTTCTTCTCTGCAAAAGCGAAAGCAAAAACACACACAAACAGAGGGGAACATAAGTAAAAGTATGGCAAGTATTGGGGGGGCGGGTTATTTTTTTTCTTGGATTAGTTTGAATAACATTTTGGGCTGCATTTGGGTTAGTGCGCTCGTCTCAGGCCTAACATTAGTTGCAACAAATAAGAACAAAACGTCGTGCGTGGCAGGGGTTGTCAAGTCAGCAAGGAAAACAATAAACGAAATGCTTGCAACAACTTGTGGCTTTACCAAAGAGCTTGTGAAATGGTGTGCCCTCGAACAAGTTACGGAAGGTGAACGCCTGGTAGCGGTTGCCGGACCTTCGGCCGCTGCTCGGATAGTAGTCATAGTCGTAGTCACGGCCATAGCCCGTGGAACCATAGCCATAGCCATAGCCACTGCCTCCGCCTCCGCCTCCGCTGCTGCTGTTGCTGCTGCGATAGCGGGAGTAGCTGCTGCTGCTGCTGTTGCTCGCCGAGGATTTGTGCAGCGTGGCACGGGCATCGTAGATCCTGCGCTTACGTGCTAAACACATGATAGAGACTTAGGATTGTGATTCGTTATCCTTCATGGGATACACCGCGCCCCTTGTTTCCCGCTGCCCAATTCCCAATATGTCCATTGGGGGCTGTGGATTGACTTGTGGGGTGGCCCAACTTACCATCGGATAGGACTTCGTAGGCTTCGGAGAGCTCGCGAAAACGTTTGTTGGCCTCATCCAGATTGTCGGGATTCTTGTCCGGATGCCATTTCAGTGCTAGTTTTCGATAGCTGCAAGGACAGGACGATTAAGAATAAACACCTCCATTATCCCCAGACCAATCTTTACTTACGCCTTTTTCACTTCACTGTCGGTGGCTGTGCGCGCCACATCCAGAACCTGATAATAGTCCACCATTTTGGATGGTTTCTCGTGTGCAGTCGGAGTGTCTAATTGGTGTGGTGGGATTGCGATTAGTTAGTTACTCGACCGTCCAGCAAAGGGTGGTGCTGCCTCTGCAAGAGATTCAAAAATACAAAAATGAAGACTAACATTAGTCGGTGGGTTGCGTACCGGATACAAGAGTCAACAGCACTCGGAAAATTTCGAATTGTGTATTTTTTTTCAGGATGCTCTCCTGCAGCAAAAGCAAAGGCTACTGGGAAACAAAAAAAAAAAAACGACTAAAATGAAACCTGAAATTTATCGATAATTCTCAGTACAAATTTCACATAAGCGAGCGGAACATTCGAATAATGGGTATTCGTATAGTCGGGGATTGACCACAGCTTACTTTGTTTCTCTTTCGCTTCAGTCGACACTTTTTCGAGTTCAATGTCGTACGAAAACCCCATTATGCCACCAGCAGCCGCAGCCGCAGCAGCAGCAGCGCCCACACACACGCGAATTGCGAATAGGTGAGAGGGAGAGAAAAATACAGACAAGAGAGACAGTGGGGCCGCCAGCACAGAGGAGAAGGCAAGCCGCTCCGTGCCGCATGTGTAGGGCGTTCAACAAGCAGTTCAGGCCGTTCATCAAACTGTTTTGGGGCAATAGTTGTTCACGCGTGTGTGCTTTTGCATGTGACTCTCCTCCCCTCCCCACACACGACCCTTTGCCACCTCCTCCTTATCCTCATCCTATTGTTTACCCACCAACCGACATTTTCGTGCAAAATAGTCGCTAATTTTATTTAATTTGCTTTGTTATTGTTGCTATCGCCGCTAATGTTTCTTGTTGTCATGCAGCCCCCTTGACACAATTTAGTTTGATTTTGTTTCTTTCTTTTCTATCAGACATTACACGGGGCAATTGTTGATGCTGCCACACAGGAAATCATGCTGTTAAATATTGGAGCCTCCCCCCAGGCTAAATGACAATCAATTTGCGAGAGAGCGAACACTGAACCGATCGTCAAAATTGACCAACTTTTGCAGATACACGAGTGTATGTGTATGTATATCCAATGTTGTGTTATGTTTGTGCTGTTTTCTGTTGTTTCGTGTGGGTTGGTTGTGTCTGGGAGTTCTTATGGGGCGTTTCACGCGATTTTCTCGACCGTGCGAGTGATCAGATCAGATCAAGTGATCATTTAGTCAACTTTTATCTATATACTTGCGCGTGAGAGTATTTTTCTAATTTTTGTGTGTTCTAATTTATGGGGCATTCAATGACCGTTGCGTGTGCGTAAGATTCATATAAATTTGTCATTAACTCAGATTAAACACGCATTAAAACACCATGCGGATTATCGGTATGCATATATAGCTTTACATACATATGTATGTATATTACAGTCTAAGCTGATTCAAATTGAATCAATTCGGACCTTTATAAGTGCTTCAAAATATGTTTTTCCTTTCGATTCTTACTGCAACATTCAGTTTCGTTAATTGAAAATAATTAATGTTCTTTGCACAGCCAATTCCCAAAGAACTTTTCTACCTATATTTCCCATCAGTTTGAGATTTAAACTCGGTTCGCTGGGTTGTGGCAGTGGCAGTTGCACCGGGATACGTTCTACAACAATCATTTCGGTTCAAATGAGTTTTCCTTACGTTGAACGAATATGCAAATATATAAATATCTTAATATTCTTGCGTTAATCTTCCTGTCGGATGTGGAATGCCCCCACAAATTGCAACAGACTAAATATCGAAAAATCTATTCTTTCAGAACGAAATGAAATAAATTACCCGTTTAGTTTCTATAAACATAGTCCCATATAAACCATATAAATAAATAGCATGTATATATCAAAACATAGAGATAGGTTAGGTTGCTGCCTCATTTATATAAACGATATTTGTGTGCTGTAGTTTATTCGTTGGCTCCTCCTATACATATGTATGTATGTATGTATGTATGTATACCCGTACTCGTATACCTGTTGACATATTCGGCAGATTCTAGGTCGTAGGTGTAGGAACTTGTAGCATTGTCTAAAAGCAGCAAATGACGACTATGACAACGCGGCGTCGCCGCTGCTGCTGGCCAGCCATCCGCATGACACACTCGTTGGTTGGAGCTTTGCACGTCAGCAAAGGCACAGGCCAGGCCAGGCCAGTCAGAGACGGAGACGGACAACCAGACATGGAGATCAAGATGAAGACATGGACGTACGGACGTACGGACGGACGGGCAGACGCGGCGGTTGCGGTTTGAATTTCCCTGCCAGCTGAGCTCTGCCACTGGGGGCTGAGTCAAATCCAATCGCATGGATTCGAATCGAAGCAGTTCACAGACTACGACTATATCTGATGGCAGTCACTCAGCACCTTGCTAGAATTCTGTTCGGTACTGCGGCGCCCGATTGCGAGGGCGTTTTTGCGGCATTTAAGGCATTTTGCGGCTCAGTCCGATGAAGATTTCATTTTGGGGGGAAAACTACTGGATGCCCTTGCGTACAGTTTAAACACTTTTTAATCGGGGAAAGATAGCGGCGGCGTTCGCTCAAAATGTTAATGAGGAAATTAAAGCAATTAAAATAGTCGCTACACTCTCCGCCATACTCTCACGAACAGTTAGCAATCAGAACTGGTTTTAAAGATCAGACTAATTTCATCATGCAGATGATTCACTGTGCGAGAAATTAACAGAGTTACAGAATGTTCTCTTGGGAGTTGTTTCGAATGTAGATACATATGTACATATGTACGTCGTACTATGTGTACACGAGAGTAAGGTCAAAGCTGATAAAAAAAAAACCAAATCACTGGGTAAACAATGCAATGTGTGCATGTACAAATCACTTGATTAATTGAATCACACTCTGGCTCTGACTGTTCCGGAAATAAGCTGCTTTCGGGAAAACAAACAATCGTATGATATTTCTGAAAACTTAAAGATACATGGCAGCGGTCGCTGGTGAGTGCTTGCCCTGGATTGGCTCTAATAAGCAATCAAATTCAATCAGCAATAAATGCAACTCTTTCGGATAAGTGTATTTAATGGGACTGCCTACGCGGTGTGGTGTGAAGCGTCAAACCTGAAACACTCCGCCAAGCTATGTGTATGTGTATGCGTTTGGTATTCTGTGGTTTGCAGAGTGGTGGATGCTGATGCTGCTGCTGCGGCTGCTGCGGCTGTCTATGCAAATTACATCACCTCGTCTTGCCACTGCTGTGGTTTTGTGTTCACACTTTTTCCCATTTGTTGTCGTTTCGATTAAACCTTAATTGTACCGCGGCATAGACCCCCCAGCCCAATAAGAGAAGAGAAGAGCAATCAGGTGTCGTTGCTGCCGTTATCAAGGGGAGAGCCACAAAAAGCGGTTAGGCGGCGGGCTCTCCAGCAACAACAGTTGGTTGCGTGCTCACTTACACGATAGAGTGAGACAGATAGAAAAGGTGGGGGGGCTGTTGTTGGTGTTGCAAATTTTGCCATAACCTACTTTTTGCAGCCAAGGTTCATTTTTGAAGGGGTGAGGTAATACGCTACCCCTATTTAAACGTTTTACTTGCCACTCTCTCACTCTGCCATTCTTTGTCTTATCCCCTTTTACATGTCCCGCATTAACAATACTTGTCAATTAAACAGGCAATGCTTCACCCTACGTAAATACACCTTGATGCAATAAACACACACTCACACACACACACACGCTCTGCCAGAGGAAACCAGCAATGAAAAACTGATAGAGGCCAAAGCAAAGCAAAGCAAATGTGCGATAAGAAAACGCTGCGCATTTGTACGAATCTTGAGCTTAAAGAAAAGTCACGCAATCCGAGTGCGCGAGAGGGAAAGCAGATGCACTCACTCACTTTTAATATTTGTGTAATTTTATTTCCTTTTTTCTTTATTTATTTATTTTTTTTTGTTAACCAGCAATTTCAGTTCTCGTTTTTATCACATTGTTGTCGTAGTCGGCGCGCTGCGTTGCACAAAACATTATAAAGAAATAAAGAAGAAGCCACGCAGTGCAGTGCATAAATTAAATTAACAAAAAACGCTCACGTACGCGGCAACGGTTTAAAATTAAATGCAGAGACCCCCAAACAACAAAACAGCACAGCAGCAGCTGACAGCGCAAGGTAAATTTATATAAGGCGAGGCATTGCCAGAGAGCGCTCTTTTGCTGGACACTGTATATGCGATCGAGGAGTTGCGAAGCAGAGAGCGCGAGTGGAAGGAATGATACGGCCTCACCTTAAATGTATGCAGCCTGGGAGAGCACTCCATGAGAGAGCGATGAGAGAGCTTTTGTTTGCATTAATTCGCTCCCCATCCCTCTGTTTACTGATATTCTTTTTGGTTTTTTTTGTGCGTACCTGGCGTCCGCTCACCGGAAGTTGTTTCGTTACGCCAATTCCTGCACAAATTATCTCCTTTTATCATTTATCTTTCCAGTACGATTTTGTTTTTCGGTCTTCTTATCAGCGCCAGCGCATGTCTACACGAGTGAGATCCGTTACTGGTATTATGGCTAATGGTGGTTTACCCCCCTTTTTCGGGGAACATGATTCATCTGATAGATTCCGCAGAAATGCCTGTGCTCTCCTGTGCCGGGGTTTATCGATTGGAGGTTCATTTAAATAAATATGATTTCTATATAGCCAAAGTTTATAGTGCTATAAAGGCGGCAGAGCACGGCAGCGAATATACGAAAGGCAAAACAAATTTAAATATTTAATTTTAGAAATATGCTTGGCGAGTCGTTGACGCCGTCGAACAGTGGTACACAGTTGATTGAAATTAATATTGTTGGGTTGTCGCGGGTCGAAGATCATAATCAAATATTCTATGGAGAACTTTCAGCCCGTCTATACAGTCCTATCCCAGACACATTCTTCCAGCAAACGCCATTCTCGTTAGCTCTTGAACCAGTGTGCAGCTGTACAACAACAACAACAACAACAAAAACAAAAGCAAGAAGAGCAGGTGGTGATGAGTGCGGGGGGAGAAGGTGCCACGCAAAATGTTGTGCGAAAATTATTGAAAAGTTTATAAATTGGAAATTTTTCTATACAAATTGTTTTGGGTATGTGTGTTTGTGTGAGTGTGGGAATGTATTTTT